CTCTCCTATTAATAAACCTATTTGATGTTAGAATGGCAATATTCTTTTTATATATTTTTTTAAACTATAACACTGGCAATATAAAATCCCATTCGTTTTCATAAGACGGTTATAGATCAGATTACATTCGGTGTCACATTAAGCTGACGCTGTGGGAACTCAGCCCATTTCCTACAGCTACTTACTATAACCGAGTAGGTACTGAGTGTAAGAATAACTGAGTACGATAATATTTTTTTTTAAATAAAAGTACTACAGACGGTGACTTATCAAAAGGTGCGCTACGTGTAACAGAAACAGAAACAGAAACTTTTTTATTCAATATAGATTATAAATAATACTTATTGAAAGTCACTCTTTTATTTGATTACCACTGGTTCGGAAAAAACCTCTGTCCTGGGAAGAACCAGCAAGAAACCCAGCGGGACTTTTTTTTAAATAACAGCTTACAATCATGATGTTACACAAATTAACAACACAACAAATTAGAAATAGCTTGGTAGCGATCACCTCATTTCCAGGGGTTATTATCATCCATAAATTCCTTAATATTATAATAACCCTTTTTATACAAACTTAGTTTAATAAAGTTTTTGAACTTTGAACAGGCCAAACTTTGTATATTTTCTGGAATTTTGTTGTAAAAGCGTATACATCGCCCCAAGAATGAATTACTGACTCGATGGAGTCGAGTAACTGGTACTACTAGCTTGTGTCTGTTCCTAGTATTTACAGAATGAATATCACTTATTTTTATAAAACTACTTTTATTTTTGTGTACGTACATTACATTTTCATAAATGTGTACTGCGGTCATGTGGAAGATTCCAAAATCGCGATTGCGACTAAGTTTACTAACTTTAAGGGAGATGCTCATAAACAGTACTACCATAACAACCATAACCAGGCTTTTAATAATGAACTGATGATAACGATGAATTATTAATGAGATGATAATCGACAAATGCTTTCACGCTCTTTCATTCTGATGAATCTCTAACTACTAGGCTACTACTATTACTCCAGTAATCTGTGATTAAGCCTATGATGTTTTGTGATGGGACGTAAACGACTACAGTCAAAGACGTATTACAAAAACATCTTAGACTACAGTAGCCTAACGTACATACCACAGTCAATACGGGATTTATTACTTTTTTAATTTTTTTGTTTGCCTAGTAAATTGTTAATCATTACATAAATTTGCACTTAGCTATTGGTGCCAAAGAAATTCAGGCTTAGACAAATGTAGTCATAAAATTATTACGATGTGAATATTAAAGTAAAATTATAGCCTATATACATACATATCACAACTGGGAACAGGCCTTCTCTCATTTCTGATAGGGTTTTAGGCAAAGAAATTTAAGTAGTAGTAGTAATAGACCGGACATCAGTAGCAAAATTGTAGTCTGTAACTTATGTTCTATAGGATATATCTCCGATTTTTGTCATTTAGTCTTAGTGACATCGTCAAAAAGTCAAGACCCATTCGTTTCATATATTTAAAAAATATTTTTAAAGAAAATACAATATCTTAATGCACAACCGGGCAGGTTGTGCATTAAGATATTGTAAGTCACGATATGGAGCAAAAAATGAACGTGATTTCTGTTTATTATTGTAAGTGTAACATACATTTACCGAATAATCTTTAAATTTTATTATTTCTAGTAGATTGTTCTAGAACATTTATTTTTATTGTAATAAGCGCCCTCTGCTATCCAGTAAACGTCACTATTTAGTTACCAATTTTAAAGTAAGTGATTGACGACGTTTATCGATTGGAATTATCGATAAAAAATATACAGGAAACCGATTTAATCCTTTACAATATTTAAGCAGGTAAAACAGTCAACAATACTGTACGCTTACCAACAAAAATGAGTAGCATATACCAATTATGCTAAGTACCCTATGTGGAGCAAGAGTACTTTATGTGGAGCAAGGGTGGGAATTTTTTTTAGGCATGCTGATGAGATTTTCTATGTTGCTTATGAGCATGCTGAGGATACTTGCTGTGTTGATGTTTAGCAATACAGCAAGTCTCCTCTTTTACATACCAGGCTTCATTGTCTGTTAGTTTTCAAGGACAAAGCCATTATAGATCCTCGCTTACAGTGATAGGAGAGGGCAATAGACTTCTTACATTAAAAACAATTTGTACTGTTAAAGATATTAGACGCAAGAAGTTGTAGGTTAAGCCTGAGATAGAAAATAAGGTAACAACTTAAAGTAACAATTTTTATTGATGTGGGTAGTGTCTTAAAGTACTGTAGCTGATGAAACGTGAAAAATCGTGAAACGTTCACTCCTCAGCGTGGGTGCTCAGGCTGCCCCGCGTATTCTAGGGGGGGGGGGGGGGCAAAATTCCGCTCGCGACTAATGCTGCTCGAGGCAAGCGGAGCAATACAACCAAGTCGACCCCTGTCACGCTATCCGTGAATTTTTGCAACGTCAGGGGACTTCATTCCAACCTTAACGCTGTCCATTACCATCTAGAGACGGCGAAGCAGGCCTTGCTCTTTTTAACAGAGACTCAGTTGTCCTCTCCGGCTGATACTTCATATCTCTCCTACCCGGGATACAAATTGGTACACTCCTTTGTGCCCCGGGCTGGAGTTTGTGTATACGTCAGAGAGGACATCTGTTTTCGACGCCTCGGCAGCCTTGAAGGTACGGACCTGTCCATCCTATGGCTGCGCGTAAACAGCGACGACCATCCCCGCGTCTACGGGTGCCTCTATAGGTCCCATAGCGGTAATGCCGACACAGACCGACTCATCGACCACGTCCAAATGGCTGCAGACTCCGTGCTACAACAGGTCCCATCCGCAGAGATCGTGATACTCGGTGATTTCAACGCCCACCACGCTGAATGGCTTGGTTCTCGTTTAACCGATCATGCGGGTAGATCTGTCTACGACTTTGCTTTGGCATATGGTCTAACACAACTGGTTACTTCGCCTACGCGGATTCCAGATGTGGAAGACCATGTACCTGCCCTGTTGGACCTTCTGCTGACCTCTCATCCGGATGGATATCAGGTCTCCGTCGATGCCCCTCTGGACTCTTCGGACTATTGTCTGATCCGGAGCACGGTGCCAATCACGCTCCAATCGCAGTTGCGATCTGCAGCTTGCCGCCGTGTTTGGCACTATAGGTCAGCTGATTGGGACGGGATGCGGTCTTTTTTTGCATCCTACCCTTGGGGGCGGGTTTGCTTCTCCCAGCGTTGTTGCCGATTCTGTTGCTGATGTGGTACTTCAGGGTATGGAACTTTTTATTCCATCCTCTGTGGTGCCCATCGGAGGCAGATCCCAGCCATCGTTTGGTCGCTCCTGTAAAATAGCATCACGCTATAAGCAGGAGTGCTACCGGGCCTGGGCTAACACATCAACGTCTCGGGATTTAAACACCAGAGCACTTAAAAAGAAGTATAATTCCGCCTCCAGGTCCTTCAAAAGCGTCATTGCCAAGGCAAAGTCTGAGCACATCGGCAGAATTGCCGAGAAGCTAGTTCGCCTTCCTTCGGGAACCCGTGCATTTTGGTCTCTCGCCAAGGCTGCCCAAGGGAACTTCTGTCAGCCATCCCTTCCATCTCTGCACAGAGAGGACGTCTCACTGGCCCATGCCGCAAAAGAGAAAGCCGATCTGTTGTGCTCTCTTTTTGCGTCTAACTCGACTCTAGATGACGGGGGAAACACACCGCCGACCATCCCGCGATGTGAGTGCTCCATGCCGGATGTGCGATTTACACAGCGCTCGGTTCGCAAAGCACTCTTCTCCCTGGAGGTCAGCAAGTCGAGTGGGCCCGATGGAGTCCCTCCCATTGTGCTGAAGGCGTGTGCTCCGGAGTTGGCACCGGTTTTAACGCGTCTTTTCCGGTACTCCTACTCCCAAGGCGTAGTCCCAAATTCATGGAAGACAGCTTTGGTCCACCCGATCCCTAAAAAAGGCGACCGCTCAGACCCGTCCAACTACAGGCCTATCGCCATCACCTCCTTGTTCTCCAAAATAATGGAGCCATTATAAACTGCCAGCTCATGAGGTACCTTGAGAATCACCAGCTGATCAGTGACCGTCAGTACGGTTTTCGTCGGGGTCGATCAGCAGGTGATCTTCTAGTTTAGTTAACTCATAGATGGGCGGAGGCAGTAGAGTCCAAGGGGGAGGCATTGGCCGTTAGTTTGGACATAGCGAAGGCCTTCGATCGGGTCTGGCACAAGGCGCTTCTTTCGAAGCTTCCTTCCTATGGGCTTCCCGAGAAATTGTGCAAATGGATCACCAGTTTCCTTGCTGATCGGAGCATCAAGGTCGTAGTAGACGGTGCATGCTCTGATTTCAAGCCTATCAACGCTGGTGTTCCACAAGGCTGCGTGCTATCACCAACGCTGTTTCTCCTGCATATCAATGATATGTTGCTAACTGGTAGCATTCATTGCTATGCAGACGACAGCACTGGGGCTGCCTTATATACGTAGCCGAAGCAGACTCAGTATGACTTTCTGCACTGGTTTAGGTATTCTTTATATATTATTTCACTCTTATAGTCTAATGAGACGACAATCCGACACGACCCAGGCAAACTAATGTTTTTAGAACGCAACTAATTTTTTGACGGCATGAGAGTGATACACCGTCAACTTCCTGACTCCGGGTTGCTACTGATTAATTTCTGATAGAAAAACCTAATAACTGATTTGAACCCGACCCGGGATTCGAACCCCGGGCCACATGATCAGCAGTCGCCTTGAAGATCACTATACCAACGAGGCAGTCACGTACGTACAATGTTATGACCAGCTATAACGTGATATAATATAAGATATTGTAAATGGAGGTAGGTATAACGCTAGTATGGCTTCGTTGTGCTTAAGACCTATTATCTAATTAACTTCTTACTTTCTGATCGTACCTATGCATTCAGTGTATTATCAGAGCGTTTGATAGTAACAATGTTATGATTTATTTTCGTCTTTTACAATAAATTATTCAATATGTATTTAAAACTAATTAGCAAAGTGTTCATTTTAAATTATTTTATACAATGTATCTTATTTGCAGACGTGAGTAAAAAAAGAATTTTATAGCAATTTGTAATATCCATTATTTATAAAATATAGATTCAATTGTTTTTGGTGCACTTTTCATAATTTATTTTATATTCAAATATTCAACTTTAATATTCCAGGCTAGGCAATTCAGAGTAACTGACCAAGTTTATTTCGATATACATAGAGAAGACAAAGCCGTAGGCAGGATAGTTATAGGATTGTTTGGTGATTTGGCACCACGAGCGGTTAAAAATTTTAAAGTACTTGCTTCCAAAGGTATCAGAGGAAAATCATATAAGGGTACAAGTTTTACACGCATCATTAAAAGATTCATGATACAAGGTGAATATTTTGTTTCTTATATAAAGTTTTGGTGCATGCATTAAATAAAATATTTGTTAATAATTTTTTAGGAGGTGACATTGTAAATGATGACGGTTCTGGATCTATTAGCATTTATGGAGAAACATTTGATGATGAAAACTTGGATACACAACATAGTGTAGCAGGATTTGTATCTATGGCCAACAGAGGTGAGGTCGTCTTTTTTAGATTTTATAAAAGATAATTACATAAGTGATTGTTTTAGGACTGAATTTTCAATTGTTAAATAAAAGTTATCCGTCTAATAAATAATTATTACTTGACTGAAAATTAAAGTAAAACAATTGGACTGTTTTATTCCTATAACTGTCGTTTTTAATTTGTAATTGGTGTGTAAACCATATATGATTTTAAACTTATTTTTTGTGTCAAAATAATAAAAGCAGAAATATTGAAAAGAAAAACCTATTTTTAACGCAACAACTGCTGTAGTAATCTAGGTGGGATAAACAACTTGCATCTGAATAATTTAAAGAGAGCGGAAAACACCACAAAATTTGGTTCTGCATACTATAGCACACACACATATGGACACATCATGAAATAGAAGTGTCAAATAAAAATATTTATTATGGTACGGTAGTAGATGTGCCAAAGTCGTAATATGGTTAGGGCGGAAATCGGATTGCAAAGGTTTAAAAGATTATTTTATAAGGTTAGTTGATTGTGCACGACATATTCCAAAACTAGAAAAACTTTTTTGAAACTATTAATATTAGACATTTTTGTGAGAGGAACCACATAAATGCATTTTTATATCATGTCGGTGATCTTTACAAGCGGAGGGGAAAAACAGTATACAGTGAACTATACAGAGTGGAAATTATAGGGGAGAAGAGATCAATGAAAGAGATAACCAAACAATTAAGGTGTTGGGACGAGAAGAAAATGCTATGCGCATTTTCATTTTTACTATAAACGACTATTCGAGTCTTAAACATGATGATTATGGTGAATTATTTTAAATTAACACCATGATTATATTATTAGTTAGTCATCATCATCATCATTACAGCCCTTCACAAGTCCACTGCTGAACATAGGCCTCCCCCAAAGAATGCCACAAAGCACGGTCTTGAGCCACCTGCATCCATCGACTTCCTGCATGTCTTACCAGGTCGTCACTCCATCTCGTGGGGGGACGCCCTACACTTCTCCTACCGGTACGAGGCTGCCACTCGAGCACCTTTCTTCCCCATCGGTTGTCGGTTCTTCGAGCTATATGGCCGGCCCACTGCCACTTCAGCTTACTAATCCGTTGGGCTATGTCGGTTACTCTGGTTCTACTGCGGATATCCTCATTCCTAAGTTTATCACGCAGAGAAACTCCGAGCATAGCCCTCTCCATAGCTCGCTGAGCGACCTTGAGCTTCCTCATACGGCCAGCAGGGAAGGACCACGTCTCAGTTCCGTAAGTCATCACTGGCAACACGCACTGGTTGTACAATTTCGTTTTAAGGTTTTGAGGTATACCTGACGAGAAAATGTGTCGTAGCTTCCCGAACGCTGCCCAGCCGAGTTGAATCCGTCGATTGACCTCTCGGTCGAAGTTGGACTTACCTAGTCGGACTATTTGTCCCAGGTAAACATACTCGTCAACAACTTCGAGCTTAGTGCTCCCAACAACTACCGGCAAAGGTGTGACATGGACATTGAACATGATCTTTGTTTTGTCCATGTTCATCTTAAAACCTATCCGTTGGGAAACACTATCGAGGTCATTGAGCATAGTGCTTAGGTTCTCCAGCGATTCTGCCATAAGGACTATATCGTCGGCAAATCGAAGGTGAGTGATGTACTCGCCATTGATGTTGATACCGTATCCTTTCCAGTACAGAAGCTTGTAAACGCACCAATGCAGCGGTGAAGAGTTTCGGGGATATGACGTCACCCTGTCTTACACCTCTCTGCAATTGGATAGGTTTCGTACTCTGATTCTGTACTCGGATAGCCATCGTAGCCCTACTGTACAAGCCCTTCAACACTTCGATATACCGACAGTCAACTTGGCACCGCTGAAGGGACTGCAGCACCGCCGAAATTTCGACGGAATCAAAGGCTTTCTCATAGTCCACATACGCCAGACATAGTGGCAATTTGTACTCTTCGGACTTCTGTACAATTTGCCGAAGGGTATGTATGTGGTCTATGGTGCTAAAGCCCTTTCGGAAACCGGCTTGTTCGGGAGGCTGGAAGTCGTCAAGCCTGCGCGTGAGAAGATTCGTAATGACTCTCGAAAACAGCACGTAGACGCAGCTCAGAAGGGAAATCGGTCTGTAGTTCTTCAAGAGAGCGTTGTCACCTTTCTTGAAGAACAAGACCACCGCATTTCTGCTCCACGCCTCCGGTGTAATGCCACCATGGAGGACGGAATTAAAGATCTTCTGAAGGACTTCAAATACCGGTCTTCCACCCGCTTTCAGAAGCTCCGCTGTAATTCCATCCTCGCCTGGGGTCTTACCGTTTTTAAGGTGCTGGAGAGCCATTCTAATCTCGCTCAGACTGACGTCCGGGATATCTTCGGAATAGTGTCGGATGAGACTCGCTCTTGGATCGTTACTCACACTTGCGTGTGGCTCCAACGATGACGTGTACAGCTGCCCATAGAACCTCTCAATCTCACTCGATATCTCAGGTGTCCCGGAAACGATGCTGCCACATTCTGTCTTCAGCTTTGACAGTTGGCTCTTTCTGGCAGACAGATCTCTGGCAAAGACTTTGGAGCCTTGGTTCCGCTCGATCGCTTCTTCAATACGAGCTGTATTGAAGTTGCGTAAGTCCCGCCGCATGCATTTGGAGATCTGTCTGTTCAGATGCCTGTATGCTGTCAAGTCTGTTGAAGAATGTAGCTTCATCTCTCGACTAACAGCCATGAGATTAAGAGTGTGATCGGAGAGTTTTTGTGTTCTTCTGCGGCGGGTCTTGCAGAACTTAGCTCCGACCGCATGGACAGTTTCCACGAGCTTGTCATTCATATCGTCCACTTCATTGCAGTCTTCTAGGCACTGAGAACGGTTTTGTAACTCGAGCTGAAAGGTTTCGGGACTTTGGAACAGAGCACGAGGGGGACGGAGCGTTGACCTCATTAGACGAGACCTCTCCAACTTAACGTTTAGGTTCAGTGTGCCTCTAACCATTCGGTGATCGCTACCAGTTTTCACCCTTGCGATCACGCAGACATCACTGAACGGTTGTCGTCTGGTCGTCATAATAAAGTCAATCTCATTTTTTGTCGAACCGTCGGGGCTCGACCAGGTCCACTTCCTGTGGGGCCGCTTCTGGAAGAAAGAGTTCATCATAAAGAGTCCCTCTTTCTCCATGATGTCGGCCAGCTGCTGGCCCCTTGGGTTCCGTTGCCCTATTCCAAATTTCCCTACTTTCAGCTCACCGTTCTCTCTTGTGCCTGGTTTTGCATTGAAGTCTCCCATTAACACCGTATATTGGGTTTTGGAGGAATGCATGGCTCTAGAGATATCCTCATACATTTCCTCCACCTCCTCATCGGGGTGTGCCGAGGTTGGTGCGTAGACCTGTATGACCTTCAGCGAATACCGTTTGGTAATTCTGAGTATAAGGTACGCAACCCTCGTCGACACACTCCCGATATTTATTAGTTAGTAATATAGTTTAATTAGTTTAGTAATAATGATTATATTATTAGTAAAACGTTTTAGGGAATTTATTTTTCTTCATTATAAATTTACATATAATAGCAATATTACGTACTTTTTTTGAAACGTATATAAATATACCTAGTCAGGTCATAAGTATTGTAACACAGTAAAAACGAATGCTGGCCACAAAAAAGTTTATTGAATTCGACTTTCGAATTGTTCATGAAAATAAAACTGTATACTTTTTAGAATTTTACTCATTTTTAAATATGGAGTGGACGCTTAAAGAAGACCGTGTTGCAGTTATTGCGTTGTATCGTTGCGGTTACGCGCCAAATCAAATTTTTGACATACTGAAAAATTTGAATATAACCAAAAGATTCGTTTATCGTACCATCAAACGATACAATGAAGATTCTAGTGTAGATGACAGGTCAAGAAGTGGTCGCCCTCGGTCTGTTAGGACTCCGGCAGTGATAAAAGCTGTGAAGGCGTGAATTCAAAGAAATCCCAAACGTAAGCAGAAACTGTTGGCCATTCAGATGGGGTTAAGCAGAACCACGGTGAAAAGGGTATTAAATGAAGACTTAGGGCTTCGGGCATATCGAAGAAAAACAGGACATCGTTTGAATGCTCGTCTAATGGAACTGAGACTGAAGAGATGCCGCGCTTTGTTGAAGCGGTACGCGGGAAAAAATATCGGGAAATTCTTTTTTCGGATGAAAAAATTTTTACCCTAGAAGAGAGCTAAAACAAACAAAATGATAAGGTGTACGCACACAGTAGTGAAGAAGCGAGCAACCGTATTCCGCGTGTCCAACGAGGTCATTTTCCATCCTCGCTCATGGTATGGTTGGGAGTTTCTTATTGGGGCTTAACAGAGGTACATTTTTGTGAGAAAGGTGTAAAATCGAAAGCAGTTGTGTATCAAAATACAGTCCTGACGAACCTTGTGGAACCTGTTTTTCATACCATGTTCAATAACAGGCACTGGGTATTCCAACAAGATTCGGCGCCAGCTCATAGAGCGAAGAGCACACAAGACTGGCTGGCGGCGTGTGAAATCGACTTCATCCGGCACGAAGACTGGCCCTCCTCCAGTTCAGATTTGAATCCGTTAGATTACAAGATATGGAAACACTTGGAGGAAAAGGCGTGCTCAAACCCTCATCCCAATTTGGAGTCACTCAAGACATCCTTGATTAAGGCAGCCGCCGATATTGACATGGACCTCGTTCGTGCTGTGATAGACGACTGGCCGCGCAGATTGAAGGCCTGTATTCAAAATCACGGAGGTCATTTTGAATAAACTTTAGTGTCATAAGAATCTATGTTTTGTTAAGTTCATTTTGGTATATAAATGGTTACATAATGAATAAACTTGTTTCAATTATTTTATATTAAACATGTGACAGAATTTATGACCTGACTAGGTAGATTAGTCACACTAGTATAATTTTGTCGTGTGCCTTCAGTGATGTCGATGTTAAAATTATTCTCATAACCAATACTTAACACAAAAAAGTGATAATAAGCCATTGAAGTAATGTGTACTTATAATAGCTCAATGTAATAAGCCATTCTATTTCAATTTTAGGAAAAAATACAAACGGCTGTCAGTTCATAATAACTACAACTGGAACGCCATGGTTGGATGGACTGCATACGGTAATAGGAAAGGTAACATAATATCCTTCCATTCAATCATTACAGTCTATTAAAAGACTACGGCTGAATATGAGCCTTTCCCATAGGTTGCCTCAAATGGGCATATTTGCCATAGTTGCTGCGCTTGGCTGGTGGGTTGGCAACCGCAGTTTTTTTTATTATTCTCACTTGTATTTAAAAAGATGCTGCTCCCCATCTCCTATTTAATTTTTTTAATAGAATAAGGGTGACAAACGAGCACACAGTCCACTTGACATCTACATTTATTCTCAATTAAGAATCAAAATTCCGATGCGTTGTCGCCCCCGAGGACTAACATGGAATGCTTCGTATCCAGTATTAAGAGTCTTCTGTTCTCTACACTCACCATACGAAACACAGCAGCATTGTGCTGCTATTTTACGCTGGTATTCTGTGAGATCGCTGTCTTTCCCCGATCGAGCCGACCCATTCATGCTACAACTATAGTATATCTGTAGCATGGCTCTATCACGCATAAATTTTTTACACAGATAATGAACATACACACACGTTTAAAGTTTTTTTTTTTATGAATTTCGTGTTTTAAATAAATATTGCAAGATTTTTCACGTATACAGGTTGTAGAGGGTCAAAACTTGGTACACGTAGTAGAGCACACGCCCACAGACGGCGACGACCGGCCCACGCAGCAGGTGTACATCGCTGACTGCGGCTTGCTGCCCACGCCACAGCCCTTTTACATATCTGACGACCCTTATGAGTAAGTTACAATGTGTATTTTGTTTGTGAGCATATATTGTATTTCACCTTATGATGTTGTCGTAAGACAATTAAAAACCAATCTCGTCTCGTGGATGTCATAACAGTGAAAGAGACACAAAATACTCGGATCAGCTAGAAGTAGTGTCAAATGTTTGACATGTCATGTATTGGAATCATTTACGACAAATCTTCTCTACCATGTCCGACGTCAAAGGAGTCTTGCTAAGGATTCATTAAGGATATTCTTAATTACCCATAAACAAAAATTGATTTGAGACATTCTTATTGCTTTCCGATCGCGAAATGTCGGCATTTCGATGCGCTGTTCTTTCTTCCTGTCCTTAGCGACTAATTTGTGATCAGCAGCTGTAGCAAATACCAAATAGACATTGGGCTGGAGTGTTGCCGAGTGAATCTTCTCGGTTGGGTCCGTTCCTCGGGTGGAGATCGAGGCCATGTAGGAAGACGCGCCTTACTAAGAGTAATAGGGGACGGAGTTGTTCTCACCCGAGAAAGAATTTTAGTGTGTGCAAGTCCGATATGATCCATTGTTATTCTCGTGAGGCAGATATGCGTAGATATATGTGAATACTACATAGTCATACACCTAGTAAAGGGATATAATAATTTATTTTGAAAATTTATTCCACATCTGCATGTGCTCAATCTGCTTATAAACTGTATGTAGTAAATCCATTAATGTCGAATACAATAGTAATGTTAAATTTACTACCCAATTTACTAGTCTATATAACTAGCACTGTATTAACCTAAGTTGTAAAAATAAGTAATTGAAATAATCATGTATTTAAACACGGTTGGATAGAGACGGTCCTTTGAGCTTTTTATTGTTATCAATAATTTCAGCTTATCAAAAGTCCACAGGCCGCCCCAATACATTGCTTTATAGGGAGGAGTCAGCAACCGCAGTTTTTTTATTATTTTGAGGTGCTATTCAGGAACATGCTTCTCCCCATATCCTATTTTAGTTGTCCTCTATCGCCTCTTACGACACGCACGGGATGATATGGGGTAGTATATTCAATCGCGCCGCTACTGCACGGCGCTTCGAGTCTAATTTGTAATTAGGTAAATTAAATTACGTTTTCAGAATAGTTTAAAATGCATGATGATTGATGTTTTTGTATTTCGCTAAAATCTAGACTAGAATTTTATTTTAAACTTTTATTTTAATAATTATTGTTAATTTACAGTCTGTGGGCGTGGATCAAAGCATCAGCGGTCCCGCTCAGCATGTCGTTTTCAATCTTGGGATTCTTTCATTGGATGATAAAGAAAATGGAAATCTAAGTTTTTATTTATTTACTAGCGACACACCTCGACTCTATTAATGAGGTGGTATTCAGAATTAACACAATCAAAGACCATTTATGTTATTGTTATTTATGTTATTGTTCTCTATATATCTCGTAAAGTTTCATCAAAATTCAGTTCAGTCATTCCGTAGCCCGGACAGGCAGACAGACAAACATTTAAAAATAGGTTAATCATGTCTTAATAGTGTGTAAATAACCCCCTGTGTTTAATAAAAACCAGTTATGTCAATATTACAGACAGACACTTCAATTTTATTTACGTGTAAAAATTTATTTTTAATTAAACAAAATTTAAATTATGTACATACTTTAAATTAAAATAGATTTAATTACTTTTTAAAAACTACAAATATATTATACTTACCTAAACTGTTAAAATCATTGTAACATTTTTTTAACTTGTAATTTTATAAACGAAACTGAATTTATACAAAAAGGCACGCTGCATACATTATACTATGTGTGGTGTTAAGATATTGTGCCAATGCCAAAACACAAGTTATTTATAGGTTTTCAGTTTGGTTATATAGAATTTAATTTTAATGCGAGATTTTATCGCGTACTAAGCTACGTTAATACGCGTCCCAAGCAAAATTTTCGATCCTAGCTTACGGAACGGATAATATACACATAAACATTACAAAATTTATATCACATGTATTATTACAGCTGGTAAATTTTGTTTTTGTTGCCTACATAACTAAGTTGCATTTTTTAGAGACTTAAATACAAAACAACTTTACCTCAAAAATACATACTTTACTTATCATTAAATACATACTTTCCATGTTAACCATTTATTGAGTAAGTACAGTAACTGTACACGTAAATCTTTTTTCAGCGTGCGTTTATGTTTTGGTCTGTGTGTGGTGGTATTAATCAAGCAAACTACACGTATTGGATTTAGTGTTTTATTTGAAGGATTTTTATTACAAACTGTAAAATGAAACTTGCTTACCCTTTAAAATTAATGTTAAATAATTCATTAGTCTTTTAATTTACATCACGTTGTGTGCTAATTCAGCAACTGTTTTTATACTATATCATTGATATTGTACTGCTTCTTACGCTAATGAACTCTCAATGAAAATGGAAAAGATTAAAGTAAAAGTAAAGTTACAAAATTAGCACCCAACATTTATAATATACATGTACTTACATAACATTTCTCTAACACTTACTACTTTTTCATAACATTTTAGCAATATAAAATTAATGTTAATCTTCAAAAGTTTCATATCACAAGTATTTATATCAATATAAAATTAGTAAAAAATAACAGCATTATGTATGTAGTCTATGGTTTATTTAATTATTATTAAAATAAATGCATCGAAAAATTACAGTGTACCTATGTGTTGATGAGCAGCACAAAATCATTCAATAATAATTTTTAAATAATACGAATTTATTTTTGGAATATATACTAGGCAGCTTTCTATGACTGTTTTGATAATTGACATATAATGTAAAAAATCATATTTAATAGGTAGATACTCGTTAAAAATTTGTAATCATTATGGTCATGAGTTATAAGTACTAATACGTAGTACATACACTTCTATGGACTAGTTTCATTTATTGCATATGTGGATTCCTTACTGTTGTTCATATATGTTATATCGATCATTATAGTTAAGAGTAATAAGTGCAAAAAAATGACACCGTTTCGATATTTCTTTAGGTAATTACGGTGCACCTGCATAGATGAACATAAATTTTACTGTTGACAATATTTTGTAATCGCAGCGGACTATTTTCACTTAATTTACGTTTATTATAATTAAATATCAACATTATTAAAAAAAAAACAACTTAAGTACCACATCGTTTTATTGATTCTCATAATCTGTGTATTATTGGTAATTATGAGCATTGTGATAAGCCGATACTATACGTGTAGGATAATAATAGAATTAAGTTTATTGACATTTTAATTTATTTTAAGTTTAGAGTAGCTGTAAGGAGTACAATATTGCTGATCTACTGTAGACTCGTTGTAAAGTACCTTAAACGATAGCGCGGGGTCTGTCTATTGCAGCAGGAGCGTACAAGAAATATTAATTATTGCATGTGAGAAATATGAGAAAAATATAATAGTTTAGTTTGTACATATGACATCCACTCGTTTCCAAAGTATCAACTCACACGGTTAGTATTTTTTAAATTATTTTCCATTTATTATGTATTGTTATATAAGTACACATACAAAAGAAATTAAAATACTGATTTCAATATTTTTTACTTAGAAATGAGTTGGTCTTTGGGTTGTTGGGATGTACAAACTAAATTGTCAGTTTTCTTATACCAGCCATAAGCATAGAGTATCATAAATATAGAGTATCGTATATACATACGATAATGTGGTTGCGACCATAGAGGTGGCTGTAATCAGGCACTGTCGGTAGCACACCATAGTGGGGTAGTTGTCGGGTTACCGCAGCAGGAGCAGCGGGCAGAGGGCGAGCGCGAGGGCGAGCGCGGGGGCGAGCGCGGGGGCGAGCGCGGGGGGGCTCGGGGAGGGTGCGGCGGCGGGCGCGTGCGGGCGCGCGGGCTCGGCGCCGAGGCCGGGCGCGGGCGCGCGCTGCTGCGCCGCCGCGCCGCACGCGCGCTCGCACGACGGCCACGCGCGGCACACCGAGCACGCGCTCGAACCCACGCCCGAGAAGAATACGCGCGCGCGATGACCTGCAAACGCACATGCGCTCAGCACTTTGACGCTCGCCCGCACATCTGTCACCCGTAGTGCTAAATAACTACTAAGTAGCAACCCCACTTTTATTCTTAAGAAACGGTAAAATACATCACCCCATCTCGTCTCGCGGGTATCGTAAGAGGCAATTACGGGAAATCGTAATTGCCTCTTACAATATATATATACTCCAATAGTAACATTTTGACAAATATAAAAAGGTGAGTAGCGTAAAAATAAAAGAAAAAAGGTACTGTATTTGCCAATTCCCTGCCAAGCTTAGCGATTATGGCAAATACTTTCTATAATGGGAAGGACTCATGTCTGACAATGAACCGTTACTGCTAGATACTGATAAAGAAGATTAGTTCCTTTAGAATTCTATTAAGTGCTTAGGAATCGGAATGGATAGACACAATCTTTTTACCTATTTAATTGGTTGCAAATGGCTCCAGGCAACTGTAGCCATTTGTTATCGAATAAAACTTTTTTTACAGTAGATTTACCAAATTGGTACAATACTGGTTACAGTAGCAATATATACTTTTTACATAATTTTTTGATAATTCATAATTATAGGTGACTTTATTTCCCCCTTACCGCCAATCATCTAGTTACAGGATCTATATTCATATATTATCCTAAGGAGAAGAAAAAAATTACGTCAAAAATTAAAGTTACGTCTCGCTGTTAACAAATTCCTTAAAAACAAAAGTGAACCTTTAATATCTAATACACTCATGAGGGTGGTATACTATGTTCATGTAAACCTATTTAGAAAAGAAATAAAAAATTACCCCACAAAAATTAAAATCATGAACGACCTTTGGGCCTTGAGCAACACGTTTAAAGTTACCGTCGCCGAAAACAGTGTTGCTAGGTTTTAATAATTCAATAAATTTTAAGCAAATTGTAGTATATATGTTTGTCTCTATATTTAGATCTGTATATTGTGCTGTGTTACTAGAAGTCTGTGTATGTGTGTACGGTGTATGTGTCTGTGTCTGTGTAGGTAGGTATGTGTGCGTGCGTATACTGACTGGAGTCGTAGAGGTCTTCGAGCGTGGCCCAGCCGGGGCGTTGGTGCGCGGCGGGCAGCGCACGCGGTGCTGCCAGAGTGGCGCAGCGCTCGTCGCGCGCCGCGCGCAGCCACGCCACCACGCGCGCGCCGCCCTGCAGCACGCGCGCCCCTACCACGTGCCGCGCCGCCTACGCACACACCAGTACATACATACACACACTGATCAAACTGCGCAGCAATTATTATTGTATAACATTATAATATAATACGTAGTAGCTAAGAGTTTAGTAGGAGCGTTGCAGGCCACAGAATCGATTCCAACATCATCTAAGGTTGCAACTAAGTCGAAAGGCGCTGGTTCGAACTTTTATAACCAACCAGTGGAGTATGGGTGTCTAGAAGTGCAGAGAATCGAAAATGAGCGAAAAGCTTAACATAAATACACACTTAACATATATACCTCATCGCGTTAGTCAGGCTAATAAAATGGCGAATGCAGAGCTAAGACCCCGCATAGGTAACTTGCACGATAAATACTCGTAGGTCATTTTATTTCTCACCTTCACTTTTTTTGTAGCCTTATAAATATTGAATTAAAGTGTAATCGCTATGGGTATGGATGTTACTGTAAGTCAGATCATAGAAAACATTTCTTGACATTTACCATGACTTATCAACAGATTAGCGTTATACGTAAAAAGAGAGGTTCAGCAAATGAATATTTTACAAAACTAATCGATATCATCACTATATTTTCAAGATTTCCAATGAACAATAAGGGTAGGAATTGACTGGTCCCACGTTCCCGTACACAACGTAATGCGATGCAACGCTCCTACGTTGGTGTACGTACACACTTGACCTACGACGTATGCAACGTACACACGTTAGCGTTAGATACTCTCGTCACTTCTTAGCGGACGCATGAAAGTGAGTTTGAGAATAATTTACTTAATCTGACGTCACAAAGAAAAATATTTTCTTTTACGAAATCAATATCTTCGCATATTAACATTTTAGTTAAAAAGCTAAGATATTGGGTTCATGAAATAAATAAATAGAGAGTAGTTTGGAGAATACATAAGGAACTGGAAAATGGTAACGATCGATTTTTTCTATGCTTTCGTAAGTCAAACTTTCGATGTTTCGATGAAAATCGAAATTCGTTTTCCTTTTAAATCATAAAGTATTTCTACTAACAACAACTTTCTATAGTGGGAGTTTGGGAGGTTTAGGTAGTAATTATGTTAAAATGTATGATTTATAGTGCAAAAAATACACGAATATGCTACAGCTGGTAATACGACGCCACTAATTGCAGAGCAATCTGCACACGTGGATGCCGCCGCGGATATTCCAGTTGTAGTAGATTCAGACGATGATGAAATAGTCTACCATAAACTAGAGCAAATGAGGAGCATATTGGAAAAGGCTATTTTGGAAACGCGCAGTACGCCTATCGAAAATCGACCGCGCCTTCCCCGCATAGGGTATGCGGGGAAGGCGCGTTCGCAAGCAAGCGGAATCGGGCTGCCGTGAGAGCTCTCTACCCAATGCTGGTGACCTATTTGGAAGCCAGCTGGGATCTTTTCGAGACGGACTCAATTCTTTTTGGCGCCACACTGGCAGTTTGCCGTATTATTAGCGCCAAACTTCCCACGGCTGGACGCGCTACTAGGCAAAGTAGCGCTATCCCAGCCTGGAGAAGAAGGATTGAGGACCGCATCGCAAAGGCTTCAGGTCGGGCAAAAATAGGCAGAGAATTGTGCGCACCGTCAGGATGGCGTTTGCTGGGAGAAATATCAGCTTGTCCCAGCCGGATATAACGCAAAAACTGACGGAGCGCATAGACGACCTGAAGCAGAAAATTGCTGCTTGGAGGAAGCGGATTCAGCGATATACCGAGAGGACGACACGGTTCAACCAAAATTGTGTCTTCCAGAGTCATCAGAAGAGGCTCTATGAATCATTAGAGTGGCCAATGGTACGAGGAACGGGCCCAGCACCGCATCAGGCCGACATTGTCGCATTCTGGCACGGCCTGTGGTCAGAGCCCGTAAACCACAGCGAGGGACATTGGACGGAAGTTGTGGCGAGTCAGTGTGCGAATGTTACGCCCATGGACTCCGTCATCATTAAGCCGGATGACGTAGCTGAGGCGGTTCGTAGGGCCCCGAACTGGAAAAGTCCGGGACTCGACGGACTGCATCACTACTGGCTGAAGGGGTTCGTGGTGTGTCACGCTGTGCTCGCCCGACAGTTCCAAGAGGCTCTCGACCAAAAGTCACTCCCGAGCCTCTTCACTACTGGGGTCACCCATTTGGTTCCTAAAGACCGGGATTTCACAGACCCGAGCAAATACCGCCCCATAACGTGTCTGCCTACCATATACAAGACACTAACTCCATTTTGAGCTCGAGAATCACTCGTCACCTGAACTCAAATCAGGTGATGTCGCGCGCTCAAAATGGATATCGGGGCAGTGGTCGTGGAACCAAGGAACCACTCCTCATTGACGCGGTTAGTGGCAAGGTGGCTAAACGCAACCGTCGGAGCCGCTCCGACGCCTGGATATACTATAAAAAGGCATTCGACTCGGTGCCTCATACATGGCTTAAGAGGGTCCTCGACCTGTACAAGGTTGACTGTACAGTTCGAGACTTCCTCGGGCAGTGTATGGGGCAGCGGAGTACGATCCTTTGTCATCTAAGCGAGCGGATGATGGCTGCGGAGAACCACATAAGGATAAGAAGGGGTATCTTCCAGGACGATTGTTTGAGTCCAGTCTGGTTCTGCTTCTCTCTGAACCCTCTTAGTACATTACTGGAGGGTTCCGGGAGGGGATTTCAGCTTCGGAAAGGAGGTACAAAAGTGACCCACCTTTTCTATATGGATGATCTCAAGTTATTCGCCTCCAGTCGCTCTCATCTTATGGAATTGTTAAACATCACTTGTGATTTTAGCAATTCTATTAGAATGGAGGTGGGGACGGATAAGTGTTGCGGTCCTCCATGTCGAAAGAGGTAGGATTGCTAACTCTGAGGGCATAGACTTATCTATGTCCATCAACATAAACACCCTATCCGAGGCTGAAACATACCGATACCTGGGTATGTCACAGAACATAGGTATCGATGAGGCGGACATGAAACAGTCTTTTGCCGGGCATTAATAAGACACATTCATATAACGGTGGGATCATGCCTGTTCTCATGTATACATTTGGCATACACAGGTGGACTCGGACCAAACTGAACGCTCTGGATAGAAAAATCCGCACTATTATGACGTCCCACAGGATGCAAGAGCCGAGGTCATCAGTACTTGCCGCGGAAGCATGGTGAACGCGGCTTTTTAAGCGCGCTTACCATGCATAATCGCGAAGTGTGCAGCCTCCGTAATTACTTTCTGACGAGAGCGGATGATCCATTCTATAGGGACGTTATTTCTTGTGATATAGGACTTACCCCTCTATCCTTAGCCAACGAGCAATGCAAGACCCGGCAGTACAGAGCATTTCCGACCGGGAGACTGTATGGAAGGAGAAGGAGCTCCACGGGAGGTTCTACAAGGCTCTACATGAGCCTTTCGTAGATACAGTCGCCTCCCTCCACTGGCTACGTTTCGGGTACCTCTTTGAAGAAACCGGGGGCTTTGTCTGTGCGATACAGGATCAGGTTATTAAGACCAACAATTATAGGAAATACATTCTAAAGGATAGCGCCGTCGACATCTGTCAAATTGTCGCCATCCCGGTTAGTCACTGAGGCATGTCATTTCTGGTTGTTCGGCGCTTTCTAACTCTGAGTATTTGCACAGACACAACCTAGTAGCCAGGATTCTACACCAGGAGCTAGCTCTGAAATACGGTCTCGTGGAACGGAAACTGCCATATTATAAGTACTTGCCGGAAGCCGTGCTCAAAAATGACGGCACCAGGCTCTACCGGGACCGGGCCATCATCACAGACAGGACTATTCTTGCGAATAAGCCTGATATTGTGCTGATGGACCGGGCACAGTCAAGGATATTTTTGATTGACATTACCACTCCTTATGACGAGAACCTCGTGAAAGCCGAAACAGATAAGCTTACAAAATATCTGGACCTGCCTCACGAGGTAACCGACATGTGGGGTGGTCTGCTGACCGAAATTATTCCTATGGTCATTTCTGCGAACGGGTTAATCCCAGTCAGCCTCTCGGGTCATCTGAGGCGACTGGAACTCCGTGACGGACCGCTCCAAGCTCAAATGTAGAAGGCGGTGCTCCTCGATACCGCCCGCATCGTCCGCCGGTTTCTTTCCCTTTCCCCCTAACTCTCGGCCGTTTGGTCTCCCCTGCCGAGGGCTTCCATCTGGTTGGGTTTTTATTTATTTATTTTTTATGTATTTATTTAATTTTATTGATATTTATGTATGTTTATCATTTTCATTTACAATTATATATTTATACAAATCAACCAGATGAGAAAACTTTACAGATACCCCATAACATAATAATAATAATAATAACATAACATGGCGTAGGGAAGTGACGACCCCATCGCCCGCTGACGTAATGGTTATGTGACAAAACTGCTACGTCAGCGCAGTCAGTCAGCATCTTGCCAAGAGGTGTGAGCGCCGTGCCTCGGCAGAATTGAGGGTGCTAATTTGGGCTCCCTTGTGCTTTCGGCCAAATCATGAAACGGTGCCGGGCCTGGGCGTCTCCCGTTAATTGACGCCCAATTTATGGATGATGGAAGGAAATAGACTGCGTTTAGGGCCGCTGCCTGGGGGTCGCCGGGGCGCGTCTGGAGCTGGCGCTGGACGCGACAGCATGCGGGCCGCCAGCCGAGTGCGAGGTGCTGCACGACCACCTAGCAGCCCCTCGCATCCATCATCCCCACCAGCTGGCTTGGTGTTGGCAGGGTCTTCGCGGGCCCAGCAATCAGCACCCGCCACTGGTGGAGTACGCCGCATGCGTTGGTCAATGCAGATGAATAGCAACGCATTGCGGGCGTATTTTAGGGCGAAAGGGGGAGAAATTGGAGGTTTTGCGTAGCGGGCTAGGATGCATCGACTTTTTGCTGAGCTGGAGCCATCTATAACCATCACCGAGCAAAACCTGGCAGACCGAGTTCGGTATATCTTGCGCTCAAACATATTCGATTGCACCGAACTCGAACGGCTACGACGTGAGGCTGTACCCTCATCGGATTACAATGCTACGGCTGAGGATGCGGCGCCACAAAATGCAGAGCAACCAGCACACGTGGATGCTGCCGTGAATCTTTCAGTTATGGTTGGTTAAGACGATGATGGAACAGTCGCCCAGGAACTAGAACTAGAGCAAATGAGGAGTACATTGGAAGAGGCTATTTTGGAAACGCGCAGTATGCCTCTCGAAAATCGACCGCGACTCCCGCGCATGCCCCTAAGCAAGCGGAATCGGGCTGTCGTGAGGGCTCTCAACCCAATGCTGGTGACCTATTTGGAAGCCAGCCGGGACCTTTGCGAGACAGACTCAATTCTTTTTGGCGCCGCACTGGCAGTTTGCCGCATTATTGGCGCCAAAGTTCCCACGGCTGGACGCGCTACTAGACAAAGTAGCGCCATCCCAGCCTGGAGAAGAAGGATTGAGGACCATATCGCAAAGGCAAGGGCCCTTATCGGCAGACTGATAAGCTTCAGGTCAGGCAATAATAGGCCGAGAATTGTGCGCACCGTCAGGATGGCGTTTGCTGGGACAAATATCAGTTTGTCCCAGACGGATATAACGCAAAAACTGACGGAGCGCATAGACGACCTGAAGCAGAGAATCGCTGCTTGGGGGAAGCGGATACGGAGATATACCGAGAGGTCGACACGGTTCAACCAGAATCGTCTCTTCCAGAGTGATCAGAAGAGGCTCTATGAATCACTGGAGCGACCAATGGTACGTGGAACGGGCCCAGCACCGAATCAGGCCGACACTATCGCATTCTGGCACGGCCTGTGGTCAGAGCCCGTAAACCACAGCGAGGGCCCTTGGACGGAAGTCGTGGCGAGCCAGTGTGCGAATGTTACGCCCATGGACCCCGTCCTCATAACGCCGGATGACGTAGCTGAGGCGGTCCGTAGGGCCCCGAATTGGAAAAGTCCGGGACTCGACGGACTGCATCACTACTGGCTGAAGGGGTTCATGGTGTGTCACGCTGTGCTCGCCCGACAGTTTCAAGAGGCTCTCGACCAAAAGTCGCTCCCGAGCCTCTTCACTACTGGGATCACTCATTTGGTTCCTAAGGACCGGGATTCCACAGACCCGAGCAAATACCGCCCCATAACGTGTCCGTGTGTAACCTACCATATACAAGACACTAACATCCATTTTGAGCGCGAGAATCATTCGTCACCCGAACTCAAACCAGGTGATGTCGCGCGCTCAAAATGGATGTCGGGGCGGTGGTCGTGGAACCAAGGAACCACTCCTCATTGACGCGGTCATTGGCAAGGTGGTTAAACGCAACCGTCGGAACCTCTCCGCCGCCTGGATAGACTACAAAAAGGCATTCGACTCGGTGCCTCATACATGGCTTAAGAGGGTCCTCGAGCTGTACAAGGTTGACTGTACGGTTCGAGACTTCCTCGGGCAGTGTATGGGGCAATGGAGTACGATCCTTTGTCATCTAGGCGAGCGGATGACGGCTGCGGAGAACCACATAAGGATAAGAAGGGGTATCTTCCAGGGCGATTGTTTGAGTCCAACCTGGTTCTGCCTCTCTCTGAACCCTCTCAGTACCTTACTGGAGGGCTCCGGGAGGGGATTTCAGCTTCGGAGAGGAGGTACAAAAGTGACCCACCTTTTCTATATGGATGATCTCAAATTATTCGCCTCCAGTCGCTCTCATCTTATGGAATTGCTAAACATCACTTGTGATTTTAGCAATTCTATTAGAATGGAGCTGGGGACGGATAAGTGTGCGATCCTCCATGTCGAAAGGGGAAGGGTTGCTAACTCTGAGGGCATAGACTTATCTATGCCCATCAGCATAAGGACCCTTTCCGAGGCTGAAACATACCGATACCTGGGTATGTCACAGAACATCGGTGTAGATGAGTCGGGTATGAAACGGTCAGTTTGCGATGTGTTTTATGCACGCTTGACCAAAGTGCTTAATAGCCTTTTATCCGGTGTGAATAAGACGCACGCATATAACGGTTGGATCATGCCTGTTCTCATGTATACCTTTGGCATACTCAGGTGGATTCAGACCGAACTGAACGCTCTGGACAGAAAAGTCCGCACTATAATGACGTCCCACAGGATGCATCATCCGAGATCGTCAGTAATGAGGCTGTACTTGGCTTGACTTGAAAGTATGGTGGGCGCGGCTTTTTAAGCGCGCTTATCATGCATAATCGCGAAGTGTGCAGCCTCCGTAATTACTTTCTGACGAGAGCGGATGATCCATACTATAGGGACGTTATTTCTTGTGATAAAGGGCTAACCCCTCTATCCTTAGCCAACGAGCAATGGCAAGACCCGGCAGTACAGAGCATTTCCGACCGAGAGACCGTATGGAAGGAGAAGGAGCTCCACGGGAGGTTCTACAAGGCCCTTCATGAGCCTTTCGTAGACACAGTCGCCTCCCTCCACTGGCTACGTTTCAGTGACCTCTTTGGGGAAACTGAGGGTTTTGTCTGTGCAATACAGGATCAGGTTATTAAGACCAACAATTATCGGAGATACATCCTAAAGGATGGCACCGTCGACATCTGTCGAGCTTGTCGCCATCCCGGTGAGTCACTTAGGCATGTCATCTCCGGTTGTTCGGCGCTTTCTAACTCTGAGTATTTGCATAGACATAACCTAGTAGCCAGGATTCTACACCAGGAGCTCGCGCTGAAATACGGTCTCGTGGATCGGAAACTGCCATATTATAAGTACTTGCCGGAAGCCGTGCTCGAAAATGACCGCGCCAGGCTCTACTGGGACCGGGCCATCATCACAGACAGGACTATTCTTGCGAGTAAGCCTGATATTGTGCTGATAGACCGGGCACAGTCAAGGATATTTTTGGTCGACATTACCATTCCCTATGACGAGAACCTCGTGAAAGCCGAAACAGATAAGCTGACAAAATATCTGGACCTGGCTCACGAGGTGACCGACATGTGGGGTGGTCTGCCGGCCGAAATTATTCCTGTGGTCGTTTCTGCGAACGGGTTAATCCCAGTTAGCCTCTCGGGTCATCTGAGGCGACTGGGACTCCGTGACGGACCGCTCCAAGCTCAAATGCAGAAGGCGGTGCTCCTCGATACCGCCCGCATCGTCCGCCGGTTTCTTTCCCTTTCCCCCTAACCCTCGGCCGTTTAGTCTCCCGTGCCGAGGGCTTCCATCTGGTTGGGTTTTTATATATTTATGTATTTTTATATATTTATTTTATTTTATTCATATTTATGTATGTTTACCATTTTCATTTACAATTATATATTTATACTGCCCAACCAGATGAGAAAACTTTATAGATACCCCAAAATAATAATAATATATTTATTGCATTACTGTGTACAATAATAAAGGTGACGTATTATTAAAGGTATCAACAGTTGCCTCATCAGCAGTGCCGGATTAAGCAAGCGCGGGGCCCGTAGCAAATTTTATCGAGAGGCCCTTGATCTACTATGGGTTCTTAAGTATAAAATGATAAAAAACAATTCAATAGGTACTCCATGCGTTTATATGCTATCTATAGGTTACAATTTTGTTGGTGTTTAATAGTATAGCAGATTACTATAGACCCTGTTAGACTGACAAGAACAAAAATTCAAGGGCGAGATTGTCCTGAAATTTAAATGAATGATTTTGATAAGAAACTAATAATTTAAAACTGACGATACTACACAATTAGTTGTAGTTTTTTTTAGTACGTACATATTTTAATATTTCTATATATTACAAAGTATATTATATTTTTAGGAATAGCTAATGTTATATTTGATCAATGGTGTACTATGTTTCTTTTGTTATTTATTTAACTTTTACAAAGTAACTTTTCTATTTTTCTTGTGGACAAATTTAGACATAGTACTATCCGTATCAATTTCTCTAAGCAATTAATTAAAATTGCGTTGCATACGATAAATGTGTTTCTAATGCATAGTTTTTCGTACAAAATCAAGAGTCCATTGGTCATTGGTTGCGTATGTGGGACCAGTCTGTCTCCCCTCTACATGTATAGTAGGCGTCATCTCTTAGAAGTATTAGTAGTAGTACCTAATGAATTTTAATATAAATAGAACACTTATGACCTGTAAATACATCGACGAGAAATATTTTCATTTAGTGGAATTAAAAATATCAATAAGGGTAACAACAACAACAACCAAATTATGAAATTACCTTGTCTTTTAAGAAAAAACATTTTATAGTCGAACGTTCTTTCGTAATTGCGATCAAGCAATAATTTAATTCATATAAGTTTTTGTTAAGTTTATGGTAATAGTTCATCATCATAATCATCATTACAGTCTATTAAATTTCACTGTTTAACATAGCAGGTAGGGTAGGTTGACTTAAGGTAACAAGTACAAATGCTCATTAGTAAAATACAAACCGTTAGCTCGGTGATGGTGTTTATATCGGCAAGGAAGCCGGATGGCAATTGAACTGTGAGCAGGGCCAATCCACTTTCCGTATCATTTTCCTGCGCAACGAACCTGTGAAGTTACACATTAAAACACTAATTTACATACGAGTTATATTCAGTGAATACAAATAAAAATAAAAATTGAGTATAAATTAAATGCGTTATACGGAGTCTGCTTAAAAAAATTGGTAGTTATTAATATATTTTGTAAAGAATTAAGGCTAATATGATGGTCCGTTTGTGAGACAGGTCAGCCGCCATCACGTTGGTGATACCACACGAGTTGTGGGTAGTTTAGCGCTCGTACCCGATACAAATGGAGAGCTGCAGGCGGTGCTCGGTGGACACGCGGTCGACGCGCGGGTCCAGAGTGTAGCGCGGCCAGGCCGCCGTCACGTTGGTACGTAATACCGCGCGAGTTGTGTTGTCTAGCGCTCGTACCCGATACAAATGGAGAGCTGCAGGCGGTGCTCGGTGGACACGCGGTCGACGCGCGGGTCCAGAGTGTAGCGCGGCCAGGCCGCCGTCACGTTGGTACGTAATACCGCGCGAGTTGTGTTGTCTAGCGCTCGTACCCGATACAAATGGAGAGCTGCAGGCGGTGCTCGGTGGACACGCGGTCGACGCGCGGGTCCAGAGTGTAGCGCGGCCAGGCCGCCGTCACGTTGGTACGTAATACCGCGCGAGTTGTGTTGTCTAGCGCTCGTACCCGATACAAATGGAGAGCTGCAGGCGGTGCTCGGTGGACACGCGGTCGACGCGCGGGTCCAGAGTGTAGCGCGGCCAGGCCGCCGTCACGTTGGTACGTAATACCGCGCGAGTTGTGTTGTCTAGCGCTCGTACCCGATACAAATGGAGAGCTGCAGGCGGTGCTCGGTGGACACGCGGTCGACGCGCGGGTCCAGAGTGTAGCGCGGCCAGGCCGCCGTCACGTTGGTACGTAATACCGCGCGAGTTGTGTTGTCTAGCGCTCGTACCCGATACAAATGGAGAGCTGCAGGCGGTGCTCGGTGGACACGCGGTCGACGCGCGGGTCCAGAGTGTAGCGCGGCCAGGCCGCCGTCACGTTGGTACGTAATACCGCGCGAGTTGTGTTGTCTAGCGCTCGTACCCGATACAAATGGAGAGCTGCAGGCGGTGCTCGGTGGACACGCGGTCGACGCGCGGGTCCAGAGTGTAGCGCGGCCAGGCCGCCGTCACGTTGGTACGTAATACCGCGCGAGTTGTGTTGTCTAGCGCTCGTACCCGATACAAATGGAGAGCTGCAGGCGGTGCTCGGTGGACACGCGGTCGACGCGCGGGTCCAGAGTGTAGCGCGGCCAGGCCGCCGTCACGTTGGTACGTAATACCGCGCGAGTTGTGTTGTCTAGCGCTCGTACCCGATACAAATGGAGAGCTGCAGGCGGTGCTCGGTGGACACGCGGTCGACGCGCGGGTCCAGAGTGTAGCGCGGCCAGGCCGCCGTCACGTTGGTACGTAATACCGCGCGAGTTGTGTTGTCTAGCGCTCGTACCCGATACAAATGGAGAGCTGCAGGCGGTGCTCGGTGGACACGCGGTCGACGCGCGGGTCCAGAGTGTAGCGCGGCCAGGCCGCCGTCACGTTGGTACGTAATACCGCGCGAGTTGTGTTGTCTAGCGCTCGTACCCGATACAAATGGAGAGCTGCAGGCAGTGCTCGGTGGACACGCGGTCGACGCGCGGGTCCAGAGTGTAGCGCGGCCAGGCCGCCGTCACGTTGGTACGTAATACCGCGCGAGTTGTGTTGTCTAGCGCTCGTACCCGATACAAATGGAGAGCTGCAGGCGGTGCTCGGTGGACACGCGGTCGACGCGCGGGTCCAGAGTGTAGCGCGGCCAGGCCGCCGTCACGTTGGTACGTAATACCGCGCGAGTTGTGTTGTCTAGCGCTCGTACCCGATACAAATGGAGAGCTGCAGGCGGTGCTCGGTGGACACGCGGTCGACGCGCGGGTCCAGAGTGTAGCGCGGCCAGGCCGCCGTCACGTTGGTACGTAATACCGCGCGAGTTGTGTTGTCTAGCGCTCGTACCCGATACAAATGGAGAGCTGCAGGCGGTGCTCGGTGGACACGCGGTCGACGCGCGGGTCCAGAGTGTAGCGCGGCCAGGCCGCCGTCACGTTGGTGACGCCCTGCGCCCACAACCCCACTAGTGCTATGCCGCGTCCTTCTGTCGTAGCACTTGCCCATTTTGCATTTCGTACCTACAAATTGTTATAGTTAGTTTCTAACTTCAATATTAAACTCTTCACAGCATTCATTAACGAAATTAACAATATCAACTTACAAGTTGAGTTTGAACGATGAGCGCGTTGTCGTCGTCGATGTTGAATTGCCTCGGCTCTTCGATGTTGCTGACGTTGACAGACACTCGTAACTTGTTCGATGTTCTTATTGTTTCGGAGAACCGTGCCAGGGCATCCAGCTACAAAAAAGCGTTCGTTTTTATATACGTGTACGTTTACTAATTAGTATACTTTATTAAAAACAAGTTCAAGATGCGTTGATAGTATACGTTGTCGTTTGCTTACTGTGATGGATGGAAATTAATGGTGACTACCTCATTTTATATAGTTTTATTCCGTTTTAATTCATCATTAGCTCTTAAGCAACCCATTGCTGTTATTAGGGTTTTCTGATTATTACGAGAACACTGATGTAATGGATGATATCGCATATTTGACGTTATTCCTTGTCGCCGAAATATTTCTGACAATTTCTGTATTCGTCTCTTATGGCGTCCACGCGATAAAACGGGGTGTTAGGCCGGTATTCAGAAACAATAAAATAACACAAATTTTGTTATTTTGAAGTTTGGGTTTAAAGTTTCAATGACTTTCCAAATATTTTTAGTGGTTTTTTACTGGTAACAAAGCATTTCATCTAAGTCCTCAGGGGTGACAACGTATCTGCATTTTGATTCTTAATAGCGTAATGTAGATCACTGCAGACATTTACCACTAAGTGGAAAAAGTCAAGAAAGTCTCAGAATACCGAGGTCCGAGTTCAGAGGGGGTGTAGTCTCTGGGGGGGGAGGGTGGATAATGTGTAGGGTGTGCGTGGTGCAGTGTTTGGGGACCAGTGTGTGTGGTGCGGTGTTCGGGGAGTAGTGAGCGGTTTGCGTGGGGTGTGGTGTGTATGGTGTAGTGTTTGAGGAGCGGTGTGCGGTTTGTTTGGGTTGTATTGTGTATGGTGCAGTGTTCAGAGAGCGCTGTGATGTTTGCGTGGGATGCGGTGTGTATGGTACAGTGTTCGGGGAGCAGTGTGCGGTTTATGTGGGATGCGGTGTGTATAGTGCAGTGTTCGGGGAGCAGTGTGCGGTTTGCGTGGGATGCGTTGTGTATGGTGCAGTGTTCGTGGAGCGGTGTGCAGTTAGCGTGGAGTGCAGTGTATGATGCGGTGTGGGTGGTGTGCGGTGCGGGCGGGCGAGGGGCGTCTGTGCAGTACCACGTGCGGCTGCAGAGCGGCGGGCCGCGCGGCGTGCAGCAGGCGGCGCGCGACGGGCAGCGCGCGGTCGGCGCGGCGCTCGGCCAGCAGCGCGCCCAGCGCCCAGCCGGCCGCCGCCGCGTCCGCGCTGTTGCCGCGCACCCACGGGTTGCGCCGCTCCGCACTGCCCAGGGCGCGCGTCCACCATATGCCCGTCTCTTACAAAGGGAAATGGGAATTAAAAATAAAAAAAGTTAAAATCAAACGCGATAAAATCGGTAAAATTAGTTTTATTCGATGTGTAGTAGGTATTCACGTAAATATAAGAAATCATTATTTGAACACCAACAGCTTTTATACATTTCAAAATACACAAAACCAAAAAAATTATCTATCTAGCTATTAAAATTGCACATGATAATTAAAATGTATACAAGATTATTTTACAATAACTTGCCAAATTTGCAGATAAGGTTCAGAATAAGTAATATAGGCAAATGGTAAAGAAAAATTAAAGTGATACCTCGAAAATTTGGTTTCTTCACGCACAATCCCTGAGAGAACAGATCGCCAAGTGTCACGATCCTTACAAACCTCTTTCGCTTCTTTCAGATTCATTATCTTCTTCATACATGCACGTCTAGGTATCCGAGTACTCTTGACCCTACCCTCTTCGAGCAATTTGCTCACATGGTCTTCGAAAGTTAGTCTCGGTCTACCTCGACACCTTTTAATATTAACTTTCGCGCTATATATTTTCTTCACCATTCGGTCTTCACTCATTCGCTCAACGTGCCCAAACCACCGAAGCACGCCCTTATCAATTTTTGTGATAAGGTCATCTTTCAAACCTACCATATTGCGAATCTCTTAGTTTCGCTTTCGGTCGGCCATGGTAACGCCGCACAATTTACGAAGAGATCGCATCTCCACTGCATTCAACTTACTTTTATGCTTCTTCTGGCATACCCAGGTTTCGCTGCCATATAACAAAGTCGGTACCAACACTGCGTTATGTATTCCAAGGCGTGCACTCTTCGCTACGCCTTGCCTTTTGACTAACGTAGTCAGGGCACCATTGACTTTGTTCCCGGCAGCGACACGCCTGTCCACATCTAAATCACATCTTCCATCCCGGCTAAAAGCACAACAGTAGTATACAATTTCATTTACCTGTTCTAGACATTCCTGATTTACCCATATTTCACACTTCGTTTTCTCTTCGTCCCTTTCAAATATTGGTAGTTTTCCTATTTCGCATATTTCTTTAAGTTTTATAGATTACGAACCAAATTTTTGGTATATGATTTTTGACTACATAATCTTGGATTTCATAAGGAGTACACGATAACATGTAATTTTTTCGATAGAAAAATATTGGCTCTAATTAGTTACAATTGTTCACGTCATCATACTATTTTTACGAATAAGCTCATGAAATTATTATTAAAGCATATAAAGCATTATAAGCATTTATATTTTATATTTTTCATATGCAAATTATTATAAGCAAGTCATATATGATTATTTACTATGCTTACACTTAACTTAGTTCTTGCGTTAACTTAGTTCACATAAACCATTTTTTTAATCTATAATGAAGTTTTGTTACAAAAAATAAAAATGTTGTTTGGCGCTTACGTAGTTTATTTCAGTTATAACTATCTCATAATTTGCACACATGAAGTACATTGCATTATTGACATTTTGACACAACCTCAGTCGTCGATGAGCTCCACCGACAAAGGGCTAAGCCACGCCCCTAAAACTACGATTTATTTTCGAGGTATCCTCTAATTAAAACGATCTCAATAATTCTGCCCTTTTCATCTTTTAAATTCTAAATGCATAGTACAGCCGCGTATCGATTATGCGCTCCAAGAGGTCGAAAAATGGCGCACGTTCCAGCCTCGTGAAAAAAAGCAATGGTTTCAACTGGAAACTTCCACTCGTTCCAATACTCATTCTAAGAGTCTTAATCAGCGATTCTAAAAAAATCACAAAGAGACAAATCGTATGACGATCTAGAATATGTCACATGTAAGATACCCATGCTGGCAACGGAAAGCACCATCAAGAGTGTGTCAAGTACGGCGATCGCCAATTTCCTTGCGGTGGCAATGCGGAGAGGTTTATGCCCAGGAAAAGATTCAATGATAACTAAAGAAAAATATTAATTTATGATTATTTTTTGGAACTTAGATACGTGTAAGTAATTATAATTGTTTACACTTATGTAACAAATGTACTCACCGGTAGAATTAACATATTTGTCCATCATCTGCAAGGCCTGTGTAGCCTGCGGGTGTCGAACTGCCGCAAGAGCATAAGCTATTACGGCCAGTGCGTAAGGTTCCAAATCAGGAGAAAGACCCCGTGCTATGTAGTCCACTGCCTTGTTTATCTCGTCTTTGTATAGAACGTCGCTTCCCTGTACATTACATATTAATTTTGACATTTCTAACATCATAGAAACCAGTTTACGAGTTAATTTAGTGCTTTGTTTCTATATGAGTTACTACACAATACATATCTAATTATGTATATTGTATATACAATCGTTAGTGCTAATATTCGTGTTACAACTTGACCAATTGAGGTTGTATTCACATACACACACAGTTATTTTGTTGAGACGGTGGTTTGTAGCAATGCTGGGGTCCAACAGTTTGTCTATTTGCGTACGAGCAACGTACAAAGATTAACAGCGAAAAGAATTTCGTTATCATTTCTTTGTCGTGTATAGAAGAAGAACGAATTGTAAAAGGTAAACATAAAGAAGAAAATAATTGATAACGCGACGCGCCGTTTGCGATGTCATACTGCGGATCGCATACTGCACGTCAAAATAATCCCTTGGAGGCAACTATGATGCGACGCGAATCTAAAGGTAGAGCAGTACACGTTGGCCGTGTTATGTGTATTTGGCGTTCGCGGCCAACACTCGCCGACAAGCCATACAGTGTCGGTTTTCCGTGCACAAATCAAAGAAATTTGGCTCAAGCCACAAACAGCGAACACACGTTGGCCGAGTGTTCAGTTCATAGTTACGCGTCGGAGTAGACTGTAGTGTTGGCTTAATAAAATTGTTTCACGAACATGGCGACATGGACTAATGGGGAAATATTTAGGTTCATTGATTCTTAGTTCTTATCACAATGAATCAGTTATATGGAACCCCAAACATGAGCAACATAAAAATAAAACCAGAGTAAGTAACTTGTCTGCATCTGCATTAAACAATACATGTTTAGTTGCGATTACCTAATGATAAATATTGTTACTACCTAATGATAAATATCCTTTTTTTAATCACTCATCTCTGGTGCACATCTAAATAAAATTTGAAAGCGCTGTACAAGTATATTGCAGCGGCCGCGATCGCCCTAACGTCCATCATCATCTAGCTACCAACGCAGAATGAAACACGCCAACGTGTGAACGGCACCACGAAAATCTGTCGGGCGCCCTAGGCAAGCGCGCTCGACCAACGTGTACTGGAGCCTTAAGCATCTGCAGCGACGCTCTATTGTGACATATACCATGCAATATAATTAATACAAGTGATACAAACTTACAAATAATCGTGTGGGCCTTTTTTTTACTTTTATGTATAGTACTATTCTAATGTAAGTCCAGAGCTTTCGTTAGGGACTCCTTGAAGCACTTCCAATTTGTGAAGGTTTTAGTAGAGGGTGTTGACGGGGATGGCTGATGGCCAAGAATGAAGGAGACCGGTCGGTGGTCGGATTCTAGATCGTCTAGTGTCTCGATTGCCCTGAGGTTGAGGGAAACACTTTTGAATAGTGCAAAATCTAGCACGTCTGGAGCGTAGTCCGTGACATCGGGATAGTGAGTAGCCCCGAGGGGACTGTGAACGGTAAGGTCAAGAGACTGCGTGATATCAAGCAGTATCCTGCCACTACAGGAGGTAGTACGGCATGTCCATTCAGTATGCTTGGAGTTAAAATCTCCAAACATTATGACTGCGTTACCTACAGATAAAATAGCCTCAAAATCTCTTTTGAGGGGAAGGGTTTCAGAAGGGATGTAACACCTGTTGTGCTTTGCACTCTCTGCCGTAAGTGCGACAGAGAGCGCAAAGCGTTAGGCGGCGTCCTATTTCCAGTATGCAATGTATGAAGGCTGTTGAGCCCGTCCATTAGTAAACATAGAAGTTATTGGTTGTGAGGTCGAATCCACCATTCGACTGCTGTGTGGTGAACCACTGATGACACAATTATTTTTAGGTTACTGGTATGGTTAACGGGAGTATAAGTAATGTTTATGGGGTTACCAGAATTGTTTAAAAAAAATTATAACGCCATGTGCTATGCAGCAATTTAATGCGTTAAGGTGTGTCTGTAGGTAGGTACTCGTAGTTCGGTACCTTATTGTCGAGCAGCGCGATGAGCGCATGCGCGGCGAGCGGCAGCGGCGCCTGCGCGTGCGGGTGGTTGCGGGCGGCGCGCGGCGGCGCGGCCCACGAGCCGTCGGGCTGCTGCGCGCGCGCCAGCCACTGCACGGCGCGCGCTCCCGCCGGCGCCGCCGCCACGTGCCGCGCGCACCGCCCCGCCCACCGCCCCGACACCGACGTCATGCTGCACACGGTAACAAACACTACACCTCACACACGTCACACAAGCACTGCCTTTTTATGACGAAATGTCGAACGAACTTACAGTTCTCTTGATGGAAAGTGGCTCTACTGCAATCCATGGAAGGCTACAGATACGTTGTCACCTATGAGGACTAAAATAGAATGCCTCGCAGTCTATATTTTTTTAGTAGGATCTGGGTGACAAGCGAGCACACAGTCCACCTGATGGTAAGTGGTTGCTGTGACCGATAGACATCTACATCTATCCTCGTATGTGAATCAAAATGCAGAGGCGTTGTCAGCCGTGAGGACTAAGATGGAATGCCTCTTTTCCAGTAAAAATGGTCTCCGGTTCTCTACACTCGACATACGAAACACAGCAGCATTAAACCGCTATTTTACGCTGGTATTCTGTGAGAGCGTGGTCCTTCTCCGGTCGAGCCGACCCATTCATGCTACAACTATACAATTAATATAGCTGCAGCATGGCTCTACCACGTCTAAAACTGGCTCTCAATACCCTTTACAATGAAAAACAGCAGTGTACGCACTGCTATTTGGCGGCGGATATAAAAAAAAGGGTGGTATCAAACCAGACGGAATCCTAAGCAGAAAAGGACCACTAACTAGTAACTCATAGTTACGTCAAGGCACTGCACTTCACATTCAATGGCTGCACCGTTTTCTTAGCTATTAGCTGAGCTAACTGCGTAACAGTCCACTACTGGAAATATGCTTCCCCTATCAGAAGAAGAATTTGCTATAATCGACACGCCTAGCAAAGTGTCAATAGCCCTACCAAATGTCTCGCACCTTTAACGCATTACATATTCTTGATATTTTATGTTTGGCGAAAACTGGAAGCTTGTACCACTCATTTTTCCGAAACCATACATTTATTTTACAATTTTTCATAGTCGTCTTTCACGGCATCCATGGGAAAAAATGGGGTGATGAATAATCTTGCACTGCTATCACAAAAACTCCTGAATAAAGAGATAAAAACACCAACGATCGAAAGACATATAACAGAACTTTAAAAAAAAACAACAAAATAATTACCAATAATAGAATAGTTATTTTACCATCTACAAAGCTGTGGGCGGATATGGATCTGACACGTGGTCCTTCACTGCTGGCCGTATTTGCGGAAGCTCAAGATATGAAGCAGCTAGGAAAAGGCCTAAGCTCGGAGTTTCTCTGCGCGATAGACTTTGTAATGAGGATATTCGCAGTAGAACCAGAGAATGTAGTTATGTAGCTCAACGGATCAATAAGCTGAAGTGGAAATAGACCGTCCATATAGCTCGAAGAACCGACAACTGATGGGGTAAAAAGATTCTTAAATGGCAGCCTCGTACAGGCAAGCGAAGAACGGTCTCCCACTGTATGGAGTGACGACCTGGTAAGAAAAGCAGGAAATCGATGGATGCAGGTGTAGTTGGCTCAAGACCGTGCTTTATGAATCATTCCTGTATTTATGTTATATAGTGTTTTATCATACATTGTTGTAGGAAAAACTTACAAATAGTACTTACTACACGTCGCCCTCGGCATCCGGGTCGATTTCCTGTGCAAAAGAGCCGTCAGATCGGCGGAACGCCATCAGTCGCTGGTAGCCGGCCGCGGCTTGTGCACGTAGCTCATTGGTTATCGACACTTCATCTTGATTCGTTGCCTGCAAGGGAAAACATTTATTGTTAACTGACTTTCGTGAGTGCTTCAAACCTTAAAAACGTGGTTTGTTTATTTGCTATACATGTAAAAAATATTCATTCATGTAATTTTTCTATTTCGTTGTTGTTTTATTCCTCTCTTTCCATGGGTAGAAGTAATTCGTTAGTATTTTCCCCTTTACATCCTTTTTATCTGCCCATAACAGTCCATAGATGGACATAGGCCTGTTCAGTTATAGAATGGATTAATTACTAAGCGTCACGCTTGGCAGACGGATTGGCGATCTTCCCCGATATCAAATGTCTTGCATCTTTGACGCTGATCCGTTAACGGTCTGAAATCATTTTTCCTTTCCCAAAGTCGTCTTTAAGCTCCACACACACGATCAGTTAAACTGATCAATTCAACTGATCAGTTTAACAGATCTGTTAAAACGGATGTAACCCAAAACTATTTCCTCACTCACCGGCTCCAAATTTCAACTTAAGATTTCACACTCACGGTCAGTTTTTCGATGTACGTCAGTTCAAGTGATCAGTTTAACTGACCATGTATGTCGATAATTACGACACTCACGAATGGGGTGATGAATTTTCTCTTACTCCACCACCAGTCTTACACCAGGTTATGGTTTATTTTATTTATATAAAATTTAATTTAAAATTTGTATTAGTTGTAAACAAAAAATGATTAAATAAACTGAATATGGTAATGTATTGTATGGTACTGCAGTCATGAAGGTTATATTTATAAGTGATCGAGTCAGTGATACAACAATATGAAGTAATAAATCTAGTACTACCATCAAAAAGTATGTTTTAATGCGTACGCTTAGTTTGAAATTTTCTTTAACAGTCTTCAGTTGGTGACATGCTACCTGCTGGAAACTTTGCGGATGCTACTGATTTGTGTATAGATTGTCTAGAGTATAATGTTGAAGTTATATCTAAATAATAGAACGCAAGCAGTTGTTATTACTGGATGCAGTTCCCCCGGATCGGTTGTATCTATGGGTGTTCCTCAGGGGTCAGTTCTTGGTCCCTTTCTGTTCTTAGTTATATTAATGACTTACCTTACTTAGTAGAGAATAACCATGATATAGTATTATTTGCTGATGATACTTCGTTGATTTTCCGACTAAAAAGGCAATTATTGAAATATGACGAAGTGAATAATGCTATATCAAAAGTGGTACATTGGTTTAACGACAATAATTTGCTTTTGAATGATAATAAAACGAAATGTATTAAATTGACTATACCTAATGTTAAACAGGTGAATACCAATGTGCTTTTAAATGAGGAGGAGTTGGGCCTTGTTGAATCCACTGTTTTTCTCGGAATTACAGTTGACGCGAAGCTTCAATGGGGCCCTCATATATCTAAACTAGCTAGCAAACTTAGTTCTGCAGCTAGTTTAGATATATGAGGGCCCCATCTTTAGTTATTTCCATAGGATAATGTCATATGGAATCCTGCTACGGGGTAATGTGACTGACATTGAAACTATTTTTGTTTTGCAAAAGAGAGCCATAAGAGCAATTTATAACCTAGATCCGAAGGAATCCCTTAGAGAAAATTTTTAAGAAATAAATATATTAACTTTGCCTCCCAATATATTTACGATTTACGAGAGTTTAGTGTATGTACACAAAAACAAAAATACTAGGAACAAGCACAAGTTATTTGTACCAGACTCCAAATAGTCGGAGACTCCTTCATGGGGCAATGTATACGCTTTTATAACAAAGTCACAGAAAATATGCAGACCTTTTCTATCAAAAGGTTTAAATTATTTATTAAGCAAAAATTGTCTAATAACGGTTATTATATTACTAAAGAGTACATGACTGATAAAAACCCCTGGGAATGAGGTGATCGTTACCATGCTGTTTCTAAATACTTTTATAATAATTTTATAAAATATTATATTGTAAATTGTACTTTTTTTTTAAAAATGTCCCGCTTTGTTTCTTGCTGGTTCTTTCCAGGGCAGAGGTTTTTTTGCGAATCAGTAGTAAAAGTAAAAAATGACTTTCAACAAGTATTATGTATTGTAATCTATATTGAATAAAAATGATTCTATTCTAGTCTATTCTATTACAAAAGTCCTAATAGCCCACACCTATTGGTATGTGGCTATTGTAGCACGCGAACGTCTGGAATAAACTTCAAACAAAGACCATTTGTTTTCGTTGTTACCCCTGAAAACTAAGTGACATACCTCACAGTTTGTGTTTATAAACATTATATCTCCATATAAGGTATATCCCCTGTATCGTGAAGGTGTTTAACATACATAGAAAATGGACAAAAAAGTAGAAAATTATACTGGCTTTGTTACCATTAAAGACGTGCTGTAATAGGACTCAAGTGAACGGCAGGGTCGGGAAGGGACGCCCTAGATGAAGGTTTATCGACCAAATCGGCGATACATTAAAAATGGGCCAGATTAGAAGTACCCTTAACCGTCGAGCGAGTATGCGTTGCGTCCGACGATGCGTATGATATATGGACGTAAAGGAGGCGAGAGAGGTGTGTCAGGATCGCGCCAAATGGAAGTCCGTAGTCTCTGCCTACCCCTCTGGGTGACAGGCGTGAGTGTTTGTGTGTTTGTGTGTTGTGTGTAATAGGACTCCTTTTATGCTCCTTTTATTTCTGCCGCAAATTAACAGTGTTGCACTGCTATGCTAAGACCTGAAGGGTATAGAGATCCAGTATGATTGCAGGCTGTGAGGTATTCGTTTTTCTTCTCAGAGGTGACGACGTATTCTTTTAGCCTTATTTGTTTAAATTTGGTTGCAGATGCCACGTCAATTACTATTAGGAAAACTGTGAGTTGGTTTGACACTTCGGTTTTATAAAGGAAAAATACAGTAGTTGGTGTTTATACTGCTGGTTGAAGGCGTCGAGCTGCAGGCAGCCGAGTATGGTAAGTGGCGGCCAGCGGGACGGCTGTGGGTGTGGGAGCGACTCACCTGCAGGTAGTCGAGCAGCAGGCAGGCGGTGGCGAGCGGGCGCAGCGCGTGCACGGCGTCGGGCGCGGGTGCGGGGGGGCGGCGCGCGGCCTGCAGCGCGGGCGCCAGCGCGTCGCCGGTCGCCAGCAGCGCGGCGCCGCGCGAGCGCGTGCCCGCCGCCGCCCACGCGCTCACGTTGCCGCGCGCCACACCCTGCCGCGCGTCCAGCACCATCCACGACCACGACTCCTCCTCGTACCCGTCCTGCAACCCACGACACCTTATACACGTCGACACGAGCCACGCTCCAGCTATATTATAGTTGTAACAAGAATGGGTCGGCTCCACCGGGGAAGGACCACGTTCTCATAGAATTCCAGCGTGTTTCGTACGGTGAGTGTAGAGAACCGGAGATCCTTTTTACTAGAAACGAGGCATTCCATCTTAGGCCTCAGGGGTGACAACGCATCTGCAGTTTGTTTGATAAATATGTGGATGTCTATAGGCCACAACATCCAGTTACCATCAGGTGGACTATGTGCTCATTTGTCACACTTTTTCTATATAAAATCCTCCGCTTAGTTCACGACTCCTACCTGCAAGCCTATTCGCTAACTTTATTGGTATTTAAATGATATTCACCTTGTAGTGTATATGTTTTATGACCTTATAGAAAAAACTGTGTTAACTTCGTTCGTTTAGAACTTCGTTGACATCAAAATGACAAACTGTCATTTTGATGTCAACAAAGTTTGAAAATGACCTGCTGATTATGTCGTGGTGGCGTATCTGTTAGAATCCACTACCCCATAGGATCCTGTGGGTGTCACCTGAGGCGACAAAGGGAAATGATACAAGAAATGGACATGAATTCATCCTCCTAAAAGAATCCTGATAACAACACATAACAATTTAAAAAAAAACTGCGGTTGCAAACCCTTCTGGCACGTGTGGCAACTATGGCAAAAATCCATATTCATCTATGAACTTTTGACTGATCAACATTGCTTACCTTACACGTCAACCTCCTTGATCCAAACTTTTGCTCAGTGTCAAGGTGCTTAACGTTTCGCCATTTTCCACATACTTTCACTTCACAACCGACTCCCACTAATCATTTACTCAGCCATTACGTTATTGTTCTAACGTAACGTACGACAAATCCGATAAAAATCCAGTAAAGGTAGTGTGGTTTTGTGTATTAAATATTACAATGAATAAAAATGCTAAAAATGTGATCTGTTTACCATGTTTTTATTAAGTCACTTTCTTATTTGTATGTCGTTCTGGGAGGAATTTAGTAATTAATATCCCAAAGTATCAAAAATTTCACTTGACATTTTGGGATATTATGGAACTTACTGAAAAAAATCTCCAGTAAACTTCGAAAGTGACGCATCAACGTAAACATATTTATGCGATGAATTATGTCTTACCAAAAGCGGTCTTTTTGACGAAACGTCTTGTAATCAATACAACAATAAATGAAAAATAAAAGACTTTATTTTTTTATTATAAATAACTCCCAGAATTGCAATTAAAAGTAGTGTTAGTTCGGAATTTAGATATTCACCGACGATTTCAAAATTTGCGCTATTTTGAGATGTACAATAATAATCAACAATAGTTTCGCTATCTATTCATTGTATCATAATTATTTGTTCAAATATTTGCATGAATCAAAAATAACTCTGGCTTTTGTTTTTCACGTATTAAAGATTTTTATGATAATTTTAAATGTTCCCAAAACGAAAACGGAATACTGTTCGTTCATATTTTTATGTAATTTGGCTTTTAGCTATTTAAGTTTTAATTTCTTGTATAAATGTGCCTGCACATAATTTGATATACTTACTTATTTAATAAAAAAAAAATATTTTTCTTTTGTAAAGTGAAGTACATTTGAATACATGTGAAACCTAATAAAATATCTTAATTATAGGTGTTGTTGACCGTGTAGTGTCGTATTAAAAATATCCACTACCCCATATCGTCCCGTGGGTGTCGTAAGAGGCGTCAGAGGGAAATTGAAACAGTTGATGGGCAGCAACATCTTCCTGAGAACGGCTCAAAATAGTAAAAAATTGCGGTTGACAACCCGCTTGCCAAGAGTGCCAACTATGGCAAAATCTATGGGGGAGGCCTATGTTCAGCGGTGGGCTTTTACAGGCTGTAATGGATGGAATGGATAGGTACTGTCAGAAATTGCTCTGAAAAAATAGCATTTAACTGATTATTATCAAAATGGACTTAAACATATAAAATTTATTTATAAACAGTGTTATCCTGAGGTTTCTTTACCCTTCTTTAGTTGTTAAACTGGCAAGCTCCAGATAGACCCTAATACTAGATAGCAACTGCTTTTTAAGTCTTTGTCTTCAAGTTAACATAATATCGTATAAGGGCAATATAAATTTATTTGTCACCATGGTTTCATAAAAAATTTGTGCAGAGCATTACTGCAGCTTTGTTTTCTTTAAGACCGCAATAATACTATATGAAATGGCGGCATATCGTTCTAAAATCGTAATTTTGTTCGTCGAGAGTTTGTTTACAATCTCCCCCAGAGCAGATTGCGTTTACTGCGAAAAACATAACGCATATGTGCCAAATATAATGAAATATTTCTAGCTATACCTGTCAGCGACATATTCCACAACTCTTATGCTGTCTTTAAAAAACTCTGGTGTGTTAATGTTTAATATGTATGTTGTGAGTGTGCTCATGAAATAAATAAATAAATACTGCATGCTGAGATTGCGCGAGGGACGTGGCGCATCAAAGTGATTGGCTTTATAGCCTTTGTGGCGCATGGTGGTGTGAGTGCTGACCTGCACGTCGATGGTGCGGAAGAGGGAGGCAGAGAGGCCGCCGCCGCCGGCCTCCACTATGACGGGCGCGCTGCCCGCGCGCACCGCGCTCACCAGGAACGCGGTGCTGCTCACTGAGCCGCCCGCTACCGTCACGCGCGTGCGCCGGAACAACTCGATCTCTGCCCCACAACAACCTCCGTTACTCAAACTTAAGCTCCAGGGCAATTCTTATTTAAATTTTTATATTCAAATAACCACTTCTTGTAAATCAAGAAAGGTACACGCAAGCCAATCTCTCAAGTAGACTATTTGCCTCAACAGTTAAAATGCAACGGTATAAAATATATACTAGGTTGATCAACAAGCCCCGCCTCCAAAAACCGCTACCTACTACTACTACTACTATAGTTCTACTCGGCTAGAACTAGGTGCGGCCAGCAGTAGTTGGTTAAATTTAGGTGTGCTGTTAAATTTGTAAAAACACGGATAGACGTATTAAGTAATATCAGCGACAGGCGGTTAAGGTGCCGTTGGCAAACATTTATCTAATTTATAAATTATATATGATACACTTAAGTTTAACCAACTACACCTAGTTCGAGCCGGCACTTCGACGTTTAGCCATAATAATTAGTTTCAAAGGCGTTTACGTTGAAGAATAATCCTAGAGTTTCATTGCTTTTTCAAAAGTTTATTGATCAACCTAGTAATATATATGTCACAGTCAAAACTCATAACCGGTCAAAACAACTTTTGACTGCATAAATCAGGCAAAAATGGTTTTGACCGATGCCCTTAGTCAAAAACAGTTTTGACTGATTTTTTGTTGTCAAAAGTGGTTTTAACCAACGGTTCTTAGTCAAAAGTGGTGTTGTCTGATTTAAAATTCAGACTATCGGTCAGCACTCGCAGTATCAGTAACAGTAATTTACGTTGCGGCAGGGGCGGCCATTGAGCCACCCTAAAACCGCGTACATTATAACGATATAAAATATAATATTAAAGAAATTGAACTTTTCAATTTCTAAAATTCAAAAAGTTAACCGATGTAATTTGGTCAAAATAACTATTACCCAGTATTAATGCAGTTAAAAGTGGATTTGACCAACGGCCTTAATCAAAACTACTTTTGACTACAAAAATCAGTTAAAAGTGGCTTTGACAAACGTCCTTAGTCAAAACTACTTTTGGCTGATTTTTTACAGTCTAAAGTTGTTTTGACCGGTTATGAGTTTTGTTTTGACTTTAACATATACATCATCAGGTTAAAATCAGTTTGATATCATACTAATTTATTACACACTAGTTCTAAATGTTCCTCAAAATCAAAATTACTTACTTTTCGTTGAATCAACGTTATTCTCCAACGGTTCGAATTCGAAATACTGATCGGAGTTGTGGAAAGTGACTTCAACCGTTACGTCCTCCGATAGCGAGTTCTTCAGGATAATGACGGCTGCTAACATTTCTCCACGTTGCAGAGTTTCCGGCAGCTCGGCAGTTATAGACAGTGGTACGCTGGTTGTGAATGTTTGAGGAGCAGCGAGACCCAGCCCCAGGGTCGGGTGCACTGAGAATGCTCCGATTGTCCATTCGCCTGGTGTCATTGGTGACCACACTTCCTTTGTGCCTTTGCCATCATTACTGTAAGGTTTGTATGATAGATTTTATTTGTTATTAATGACAGAACATTTTAGATTACCTTATAGTCTATGCATCATTTTGTCAGTCAGTCTTTTTATTCAATTTAGGCTTGATTAAAGCTTTTATGGTATAAAAACCTACATCGGTTCGTAAAATTAAGACCTCAAAAGGAATCGGCCAGAAATCTCTCTGGATTCTTTTTTTAAAGTCATGTTACAATTTCACTTACAAGTTATAATAAAATGTACTTATACAATAACACAGGACTATAAATATTTTTAAAATATCAGTACTATTAACAAAATAATATCAGTAGCCAGGGGCCCAGGCCGATTTAAACATTTTTTTATTACTGTTAAGTATTATACTGCCATCCGTTTTGCAGTAGGCAGTCGGATTATTAATAAATAAATTGATAGTTTTCAACCACTATTCGTTCATTCGAATAATTTATATTAGACTAATATGTTCTACAAAAGTGTAATGAGTAAGCGAGAACCTTATATGTCACACAATTTCATAAAAGCACGAACAAATTTTGTTGTAGATGATCTCACTAGCTTTTTATAACATTTAACATTATAACATTTGATAGATCACAAACTATCGCAAAAGAACGATTCCTAGCAGGGATGATTACCAAGCTATTGAAAATTAAAAAAAATATCCTAATTTTTATAGAAAAGATGGCTGCTACCATCTGCTTGGGATTCCATAATTAATAAAATTAAATCCATACTACTGAAAGTGTTCAAGGTACTGTAAGCTCGTTCGAAACGACCAAAAATTAATATTTTAAAGTTGAAGGTTAACCTTCATAACCTATGACATCATGACGTCAAATACCTCTGTCACTCGTGACCATGGGTACTGTGAAGTGCCCGAAACGTCGGCAATTAAAAACTTAAAATTAAATGCAAACGGAAGGAACTTTTAAATAAATTACAACAATATTGGTATCAAATAAAAGTTAGTATTGAGTCAATTCCAAATATATACATATATATACTATAACATTTTATGCTACCATTTCGACTCAAATAAAAGAAAAGTGCGTATAGGGGCTGCGCAAACGTAGACACTTTTGTGTCTTGTGTGGGATACAAGCTACTAGTAAATATTTTATTTTCATATAATCAATATGAAATCAGCAACTCCCTGCGCAAACGCAGACACTTTTTGTGTCCAGTTGCTTCCACTTGACATATACCGATCGCCAATCAAAAAGTATTCGGTGTCGGTAACTGGAAACTTAAAGTCTTCAGTTGAAGACACAAGCAACACAAAACGAATTTCCTTACAATTGTACGGTGCTGACATTGACGTGGTTGATTTGCATGTAAATACTGACGGCGACGACGTCCACGTTGACGTATAATCAACACAACAAGCAACGAATTGTTAAAAGTGACCAGAAGTAGCAACCGGCAACTGTGTCCGATTGCCGCTACCGGACACAGTAACAACGGTTTCCTGTGTTGGTGTATCGTGTCGGTAACAAAACGTGTCCACGTTTGCACAGAAAAGAGAGCGGTATGACGACATCTAAAACTTTTCTCTTTTCAGTAAACTTTTTTGCGTAGTCAGCTTTTTTAAATTACCGTTTTAAACTTTCGATTTGCTTCTAATTTATTAAACATCAAATTCACCATTTTAATCGGAATCATTAAAAAAATCCAGTATCTCATTTTCCTTTATTTGAGTAATTTGCTGTATAAAGAACTACCAGAATAACATAAGTGGAACGAATAGAGCGATACGTGTGGGTACCTTTGTATCAGTATATTCACGTGATATTTGAATATAGAGCCATTCTGCACATTCACATTCTGACAAAGTGGTAATTAGTATGACACGTATCTTCAACTTGATTCTTAATCGAGGGTAGTTGAAGGTTTTTATAAACTACAACAGCCATTTACTATCAGGTGGGCTGAGTGTTTTATTGACACTCTTAAGGCTGCTTTACACCTGGTTAAATTCTGAATTTAATTAATTGGAAAAGACTGCCAATAGATAATTGTAAAACACACAAATAAGGTAATCAGATTGGTGACTAGCGCTCCTTGTAGTGTAAAGTGGTGGGCATGGTAGTGAAATCTCCAGGACTGACCCGAGCGAGAGGTTGGCGAAGAGCCAGGTGCGGTGCGGCGCGGCGGTGAGGTAGAAGCGCGGCGCGGGCGGCGCGGGCAGCCGGCTGAACGCGTACGGCCCGGCCAGCGGCGCGCGCGTGCCCGTCTCCACCGCCTCCCCCGCCTCCCCCGCCTCTCCGGCACCAGAGCCTACCGTGCGACCGAATAATAAGTACTCGACTAGTGCTCCAAATTTGATCGTAATGAGGGCATCCACGACTTTTCTGCCACCAGGACGGCGCCACTTATAAGTGAGGTATATATAATATTTGATAGATTTCATAGTGGGGAAGTTAATTTGTTCGAAAAATGTAAAAGTGAGTGTTTGCTTCTGTACTATTACCTATATTTTATATAAATAAGATTAAAAATAAATAAACCAAACCACAGATGTTCATAAAAGTAGAAAAATAAAAAAAAGTTAATAATGTGCAAAAAATTTAAGAGTAAATCACTAAGGCATTGTTTTGTGTATTAATATAATACTCTAGAAACTGATAAACTTTTATTAAAAACTAACTGCTCAACTAAATGACATTGTGTAACAAAAAAAACTTTACCTCAGTGTCAACGAGCGCCATCTGGTGAGCAGAAAATTATTAGCCCTCATTCATTCAATTTTTAACTTTGTTTATTATGTGAGCTGTATTACACTTTTAACTGCACCAAGAAGAATACATTATTTTTATCATAAACAAGTATGTCAGTAGGTAGTTATTTGTTGGCGATATTTTAAAATTCTTTGGCGACAATCTATATCCTATTATATTCTGTGGTCAGATAATCTCTACGCGACTGTTCGACCACAGAATATTATGTGGTAGACATATTCATGACATATTCATGACATATTCATTACTTAACTATCTAAAAAAAGTAAAAGTAAAAGAATACCTTGAGGATCATTTCCCTCCACAACACCATCAGTTAAGACCACAAGACCAGCATTCTGAAAGTAACCACTTTTTTAACATTTTTTTCGACTCAGACGAATAGTTGTAGCAATTTTGATTTTACTTTAATTACAATATGTAATAATTTTTAAACATGCGAAGAGGTGTTTACCTTAAACACATCTGCTGGAGTGCGTCCACTTAAATCTAAACCTAAGCTTGGCAAATTTTCTTCATTCTTGAACACCGAGTGCTTGATACCACTGAAGCTTTCCACTTCGCGTTCAATCTGGTAATGGAAAGTAATGTTAATACTTGATAGTTATAACGCTTGACGCGTATAGTAGAGATAAAGGTTTGTTTATAAATAGGAGACTTAATATGTACCTACCAATCAAATGAGTGTGTGTGTGCGTGTGTGTGTGAGTGAGTGAGTGAGAGAGAGAGAGAGAGAGAGAGAGAGAGAGAGAGAGAGAGAGAGAGAGAGAGAGAGAGAAAGATAAATCTCAGAAAGATATTATTTTTTTAGAATTTTCTTGATATTCGCACTGATTCGATTTCAAAGAGTTTCGACAAATGTCTACCCGAGCCGAGGCGCACCCGAAGGTGAGGGTTGACAGTCGGAACAAGTTGCAAGGACGGTTCCGCATGTGTACTGAACAACTATTTTTAATACAGTTGCGAAAAAGTGAAGCAATTTAATAAAGAAACATTTTTGGAAAATGGCGCCAACTGTAAAATAATATAAGCAGAGGTATTTTTTGTTTTCTTCACCCATTCTGGCTAGGCAAAGGGAACTATGCCCATACAGCCAAGTCGGTATGAAATGAAAATTAAATTTAATGAGATGAAATGAAATGAAACCTAACCTAAATCATTGATTCAAATCATTAAATCTGATATTGAAACAAATTAGTAGCTTCTTTTTAGAAATATTTGCATGAATCATAAAAACTTCTATGATTTTTTTTTCGTAAAATCTTCGTGGTTCGTTTTTTCTTTTTAATAGACATTATTTTGACAGTTCGGAAAAAGAACGCACGAGTTCGGAAAAGCTAAAGAAAAAGCACGAGTATGTAATAGCCCACATCCCGAACGCTATACGTCCCTGCAATACGCCACTTTTTGAGCAACTGTATTAAAATATAGTATTGTATAATGAGGTAGCACTGACCGTGTGCAGGTCGAGGCCGGCACCAGCGGGGGCGGTGAGGCCGGCAGCGTGCGCGCGTGCGTCGGCGCCCAGCAGCGCCACGCGCGCGCCGCCCTCGCCGGCCACGCGCACCTCCACCATGCCGTTGGGTCGGTACACTCCCGACATCGTCGCTGCCGTCGTCATCGACACCTTAAACACAACAAAATCAACCTTTACCAAAGTTTTCTAAAAGTCAAACACGAATGTACAAATAAATAAGAACTATTTTTCAAACTACATACATACTCTCTCACATTTTTACCTACGCATACATGCTCGTCGATTAATTTAATCCATCTTCAATATATTACCAATTTGATCGATAACCTTCTGTTTAGGACGTCCCTTGCCAACTCTGCCGTTCACTTCTGTAAAATAAATTTGCTCTGTCACTCTTTCCTCAATCATTCTTTCTACTTGACCAAATCACCGAAGCATTCTTAATCCTGGTACAACATTATTTTCCAAACCACACTTTTTTTCTTATCACACTATTTCTCACCCCGTCATTCAGATTCAGCGCTAATTTATGATAATGACCGCATTTTTACAGCAATTACTCTACTCTCGTGCTTCTTCTACCTAATTTTCACTACCAAAGACCAGCAGCACGCCGCCCGGCGCCGCGCTCAGTGAGTGCAGCTGTAGGGTAAGGTACCTGGTTGTGCAGCATGTGTGCGGGCGGGCGCGGCACGTAGAGCGCGGCGGCGAGCAGCGGGCGCGCGGCGGCGAGGCGCGGGCTCCAGGCCAGCAGCACGCCGCCCGGCGCCGCGCTCAGTGAGTGCAGCTGTAGGGTAAGGTACCTGGTTGTGCAGCATGTGTGCGGGCGGGCGCGGCACGTAGAGCGCGGCGGCGAGCAGCGGGCGCGCGGCGGCGAGGCGCGGGCTCCAGGCCAGCAGCACGCCGCCCGGCGCTGTGCTCAGTGAATGTAGCTGTAGGGTAAGGTACCTGGTTGTGCAGCATGTGTGCGGGCGGGCGCGGCACGTAGAGCGCGGCGGCGAGCAGCGGGCGCGCGGCGGCGAGGCGCGGGCTCCAGGCCAGCAGCACGCCGCCCGGCGCTGTGCTCAGTGAATGTAGCTGTAGGGTAAGGTACCTGGTTGTGCAGCATGTGTGCGGGCGGGCGCGGCACGTAGAGCGCGGCGGCGAGCAGCGGGCGCGCGGCGGCGAGGCGCGGGCTCCAGGCCAGCAGCACGCCGCCCGGCGCTGTGCTCAGTGAATGTAGCTGTAGGGTAAGGTACCTGGTTGTGCAGCATGTGTGCGGGCGGGCGCGGCACGTAGAGCGCGGCGGCGAGCAGCGGGCGCGCGGCGGCGAGGCGCGGGCTCCAGGCCAGCAGCACGCCGCCCGGCGCTGTGCTCAGTGAATGTAGCTGTAGGGTAAGGTACCTGGTTGTGCAGCATGTGTGCGGGCGGGCGCGGCACGTAGAGCGCGGCGGCGAGCAGCGGGCGCGCGGCGGCGAGGCGCGGGCTCCAGGCCAGCAGCACGCCGCCCGGCGCTGTGCTCAGTGAATGTAGCTGTAGGGTAAGGTACCTGGTTGTGCAGCATGTGTGCGGGCGGGCGCGGCACGTAGAGCGCGGCGGCGAGCAGCGGGCGCGCGGTGGCGAGGCGCGGGCTCCAGGCCAGCAGCACGCCGCCCGGCGCTGTGCTCAGTGAATGTAGCTGTAGGGTAAGGTACCTGGTTGTGCAGCATGTGTGCGGACGGGCGCGGCACGTAGAGCGCGGCGGCGAGCAGCGGGCGCGCGGCGGCGAGGCGCGGGCTCCAGGCCAGCAGCACGCCGCCCGGCGCTGTGCTCAGTGAATGTAGCTGTAGGGTAAGGTACCTGGTTGTGCAGCATGTGTGCGGGCGGGCGCGGCACGTAGAGCGCGGCGGCGAGCAGCGGGCGCGCGGCGGCGAGGCGCGGGCTCCAGGCCAGCAGCACGCCGCCCGGCGCTGTGCTCAGTGAATGTAGCTGTAGGGTAAGGTACCTGGTTGTGCAGCATGTGTGCGGGCGGGCGCGGCACGTAGAGCGCGGCGGCGAGCAGCGGGCGCGCGGCGGCGAGGCGCGGGCTCCAGGCCAGCAGCACGCCGCCCGGCGCCGCGCTCAGTGAGTGCAGCTGTAGGGTAAGGTACCTGGTTGTGCAGCATGTGTGCGGGCGGGCGCGGCACGTAGAGCGCGGCGGCGAGCAGCGGGCGCGCGGCGGCGAGGCGCGGGCTCCAGGCCAGCAGCACGCCGCCCGGCGCTGTGCTCAGTGAATGTAGCTGTAGGGTAAGGTACCTGGTTGTGCAGCATGTGTGCGGGCGGGCGCGGCACGTAGAGCGCGGCGGCGAGCAGCGGGCGCGCGGCGGCGAGGCGCGGGCTCCAGGCCAGCAGCACGCCGCCCGGCGCTGTGCTCAGTGAATGTAGCTGTAGGGTAAGGTACCTGGTTGTGCAGCATGTGTGCGGGCGGGCGCGGCACGTAGAGCGCGGCGGCGAGCAGCGGGCGCGCGGCGGCGAGGCGCGGGCTCCAGGCCAGCAGCACGCCGCCCGGCGCCGCGCTCAGTGAGTGCAGCTGTAGGGTAAGGTACCTGGTTGTGCAGCATGTGTGCGGGCGGGCGCGGCACGTAGAGCGCGGCGGCGAGCAGCGGGCGCGCGGCGGCGAGGCGCGGGCTCCAGGCCAGCAGCACGCCGCCCGGCGCTGTGCTCAGTGAATGTAGCTGTAGGGTAAGGTACCTGGTTGTGCAGCATGTGTGCGGGCGGGCGCGGCACGTAGAGCGCGGCGGCGAGCAGCGGGCGCGCGGCGGCGAGGCGCGGGCTCCAGGCCAGCAGCACGCCGCCCGGCGCTGTGCTCAGTGAATGTAGCTGTAGGGTAAGGTACCTGGTTGTGCAGCATGTGTGCGGGCGGGCGCGGCACGTAGAGCGCGGCGGCGAGCAGCGGGCGCGCGGCGGCGAGGCGCGGGCTCCAGGCCAGCAGCACGCCGCCCGGCGCTGCGCCGCGCGCCGCTACGCTCACGTCCACGCTACGCCGCGCCGGACTCAGCTGCGCCACGCAACCACACCACCAATCAAACGTGAGAATGATACCATGGTTTTTTTAGAAGTGAAACTTCTTTATCAACGTAATAGAAATAACGGTATTAAAAACAAAAACGTCACATTTTCTTGTAACATTTTCTTGTAACGTTACACCGCTGGGGCTGCATGAGTATACTAACGTACGTGAGTGTATTATGGTAACCTTAAGCTTTGCCGTCCGGTAAAACCTAAACTAGGAGGAAGACAAAGACAAAAACAAATACTATACTATAACTAATATATTAAGAAAAAATAGCAAACAACCTTAGGCAATAATCAGGAACATTGAAAAATCATCTTAAAAAAGCTAGCCCATACTAAAATCGACTAAAATATTTACTGTAATATCAAATGTTAAAATGGCGCCGATAAAGCGGCGTCCTTTTGACTCTTTATTACTTGAATGACTGATGAAGTGCTATCGTATCACAATTCACAAAACCATCTATGCAAATAAGGCTGTGGTTTTTGAGTTATAAGAAAGTAACCATATTAACCGGATGACCATATTACCCTCAAGTACTATAATATTTAACTTACTTATGCAAAATATGAAATAAAAGAAGAATGATATGTCGTAAAGAAGTTTCACTTCGTACGTGTGTACATAAATTTAAACACACAACTTTTGATTTTACTTGAGGTTCCTTATTTTGCCCTTCTTTTATGGTTATGGGAAACTCGATTGACTTTCTATCAGTTATTTTTAATTTAAGGTAAATAAAAATTTAAAAGGAAAAGATGGCAAAATTCCAAAATTTACTCCAGATTAAAATAGCCCCGGCTACGGGGCAGGGGCAGCAGCGTCTAAGGTGCGAAACGTCTGGTAACGTAATCGCCATTAAGTTGAAGTAAATTCTCTCTACAACGGAAAAGGCCCATGTCTAAACCTGAGGTGGACTTTTGGGGACTGATGAAGAAGACCAGCTCAAAAATCAATTCGAGCGATCAATAACACCGTCATAGTGCACACCATACACGTACATATATTACGCGTGCACAATAACATGAGACTCATCGGAATGCGACGCCTCCGCCCACTCTACACGTCGCACCTCCCCGTGTGCGCCCTTGTTTGTACAACGAGTATAATCCGAATACAGTCTGTCTTCAAGGCAAGAATGAGTAGGCTTTTGGTAACAAAAGCCTACTCACTCGTGAGGTGGCGAAATTAGAGAATTATCATCTCATCTCATTTCGAGGAGTTCGTATAAGACAATTTAGAAAATAGAGATTATTATAGATGATACCATTACTATCTTTGATAATATATAATAGAAAATGGTATAAATATTTATTTATTTATTTATTTGTTCTTTATTGTACACCAAAATACAAAATAACAGCGCCTGTTTAACCTTTACATTTAACTGTAAGTCTTATCACTCTGAAAGTGATCTCTTCCAGACAACCTTAGCGTAGAGAACTGATGCAAACAATAGTTAAAAAATAGAGGGGGGGCGTACAAAATAAAAATTAAAATAAGAAAATACATATAAATAAAGAGAAGTGAAGATTATGTATTATAATAGATTAAATGAAAAGAGTACGAAAAAGGAAAGGTAATTTATCTAATAGCGTTTTAAGTAATACGATTTAATAAGACTTTTGAAAGAATGAAGAGATTGAGCACGAAGAATGTGGAGAGGTAAAGAGTTCCACAACGTACAGCAGTTACAGTGAAGGATTTCTTAAAAAAGGAGGAAGAGTGCAAAGGAGTAGAGAGAGAAAGATTGACAGAGGATCGAAGGAGCCAATTATGGGTAAGGGAAAGATACTGGAAACGGTATTTTAAATAATGAGGAGTGGAAGGATTAAACAGCACGTCATACAAAGCGCAGATAATGTGAGTATTCCTGCGAAGGCAGATCAGAAGCCATTTGAGCTGTTTGCGAAATTCAGAGGTATGATCATATTTGCGAGGCTAAATATAAATCTAATACATAAATTTAGAATGTGCTCAAGCTTATTAAGCTGCTCCTCGGTAATGTCAAGATAGCAAATATCAGCATATTCAAGGTTAGGCAGAAGTAGAGACTGGGCGAGCGTAACTTTATTTACTGTGGGAAGAAAATTACGTAATTTACGTAAAGAGCTTAAGGCAGCAAACATTTTTCTACAAACCTCATTAATCTGTGAGCTCCAAGACATATAAGAGTCGCGATACAACCCCCGGTTTTTAACCTTGTTACTGTAAGGAATTTGAGTGCAGTCTAGTAAAATAGGAGGTAGGAAAGACCAGTCAATTTTTTCAATTTATCTAGAACTACCGATGACAATGGCCTGAGTTTTCTTAGGACTAATCGTTAAACCATAAAGTTTACTCCAGTTCGAAATACAAGTCAGATCAGCGTTAATAGTGTCAACTGCTTTACACAAATCTTCAAGAGAGGATTGATATGTCGTAAATAACAATTGTGAGATTTTTTATTTACGATATTTTTGGAGATTTGGAGAAAGTGGTAGGAAAGGAAAAATTATGAGTTATAAAGTTATTGAAAATTGCAAACAGGAGAGGAGACAACACGCCCCTTGTGGTACGAAATATTGTTATACATATGTATAATATTTGGACCGGCGACATAAATCAGCGTTAATCATATGAGAATTAATTTGATCGCCGATTCCGCCATATTTTCCCTTCTTCAGGAATGGCTATGTTCACCAGCGGACTGTTTACGGACTAGTGAGGGTGGGCCCACAAGTTGCTGTTATAAGACTGGTTTTTGGTGAAATAATACTTACACG